GATAAAATTTTCTTGCTATTATGGTTTTGCTATGAATGCAATGGTAATTTTGGAACCTACACAAATTTTAATTGAGCTAAAATTACATAAATAATTGTGTTTAAAATGATTGCATTAAGGACCTTTTTATTTGTGGTTGATGATTGTACTAAGAATAAAAAAAAATTATATAGAGGTGTGAACTATATATGAAAGTTTGCTTCTTTGTTTTTTTTTTTCTTTTACTTTTTGGTTAATGAGTTTTTATAAAAGAGATCGTATAGTAAATTTTGAATTTTAGATTTAAATATTATTTTTTAAATATAATTATATGAATCGATTTAATTAAATTTTAAAGTTTTTGTTATACAAATAATATCCAAAACCAGTTGAATAAACCCTTTTATTTTTGTTTGAATATGAAGTATTTGTTTTCCTTAAATTGATCTTACCTTCTATATTTCTGGTTTTTCAGTGATTTTTTTTTTTGGAAATAATTTTTATATGATTTTTATTTATATAGGAATTGACGAACTGGGGCTTCATATATAGAGATATAGTATGAATCAACATGCAAAATTATACTACTATTGTAATATTAGAACATTCATGGTACTAAATACCAATAGCAAAAAATAAATTGAGAAATTCTACTTCTTGCCATGATGACAAATAAAAGTACAAAGACTATGATTCAATCTTGTGGCAAAAAAAAAAAAGCTCAATCTTGAATGGTACGGTGGTGGTGAGCACGCGCTTCAAAGTGAAAAGGTTATTTGATAAATTTAAGAATATAAATGAAATATTAATATCTGTAAATTATTTGGATTCGATTCGGTTAAAATTTAAATTCGATTTAATAATTATCGAGTCAAGTTCGAGCTCGAGTAATTTGATTTATTAAAAAAATCGAATTCGAGCATATTAATATTTAACTTGAGTAACTTACGAGTTTAATTAAATTTTTTATTGTATATTTATTATTTTATTTATAAAATTATTATCTTACCCTTAACTTAAAAAATGGAGAAACCATACAAAAATTTTAATAAAAGTTATTTAAGGTATTTTACAGGCAAAAACGCTTTTAATAATCATTTCATAAATTTTAACGAAGTTATTGAATGCGTTTTTGATAAAAAAAAAATACTTTTAATAATTTCCTTCAAAATTTATGAAGTGATTATTTAAGGTATTTTTAGTCAAAACGCCTTGAATAATCCCTTCCAATTTTATATTGGAGGTTATTCAATGTATTTTTTTCTTAGGAAACACTTTGAATAATCCATTCATAAAATTGAATGAGGTTATTCAAGGCGTTTCTAACTAAAAATTCTTTCAATAATCCCCTTTAATTTTTATTAGTGGATTTACAAGAGATTATTCAAAATATTTTTGGCTAAAAACACATTTAATATTCCATTCCCATTTTTGTTGAAGGAATTTTGAGGACGTTTTTGATCAAAATCGCTTTAAATAATCTCTTTAATTTTTTATAAAGATTTATTGATGATATTTTTGACAAAAAATACCTTCAATAATCTCTTTTTATTAGGGGATTATTAAGGCGTTTTTGTCCAAAAATACCTTCAATAATCCATTCAAAATTTTTATTAAGGGATTATTCAAAGTATTTTCTGACAAAAAATGTTTTTACTAATCCTTTCAAATTTTTCATTAGGGGATTATTCAAGACTTTGCATAATCTCTTTTAATTTTTTGGAATGGATTATATAAGGCATTTTTGTCAAAAACGTCTTAAGTAATTGCTTTCAATTTTTTAGAAGAGATTATTGAAAGTGTTTTTGACCAAAAAAATTTTAAATATTCTCCTTCCTTTTTTTACTAGGGGATTATTAACGACACTCCCCATTCTTATTTTTGTAAGGAATTATTCAAAGCTTTTTCTAAGAAAAAACGCCTTAAAGAATCTTCAATACAAAAATGGAAGGGATTATTAAAAGTATTTTTGGCAAAAAATATTTTGAGTAATTACCTCATAAAATTTTATGAGAGTATTATTAAAGATATTTTTGACCAAAAATATCATTAATAACCCATTAAAAATTTAGTATGGAATCAAACTTATTTTTTACTGATAAACAAGCTAATTAGAGCAAGCTCAAGTACTTCAGTTTCGATTACGAATCGAATTCGAGTTAGAAAAATAAAACTCAATCTAAGTTCGAGTTAAATATTGAGTCACGAGTTGAGAGTTAAGCTTAAACTCGAACTTCTCACTGCATCGTTTCAACTTGACTCCATTACACCTCTAAACTAATCTAGTCTAGAGATTAGTCTCTCTCGTTGATGTTTTTATTTTAAGATTAAAGGGTAAAAAATGCTATTAAATTATAATTTTATAAATATTTAAGTTTTTAACATTTTATTTGTCAATTAAATTTTTAATTTTTAATTTTAATTAATTGACTTTTAATTAAATAAAATTTAATGTGAAAAAATTGAATTAGTCAATTAATGAACAATAGTCAATTGAACTCTTTAAAAAAATTTAGTTCGAGAATAGAGAAAATTAGAGAAAAAAAGGAAAAAAAATATTTTGTTTAATTTTATATATTAATTGTGTTTTATCTATTTTATTAATATCATATTAAATTTTATTTTAATTAGTAAAAATTTAATGGTGTTAATTTTTTTGTTCAAATAAAAATTTAATTGTATACCAATAAATATTAAAGTATTAATTGATTGTGGTAAAAAAAAATTTGAATTATTTTTGAATTATAATTTAAGGGATTTTTCTGTGCTTGAGCCTGATCTTAACTCCATGCTGCCATCTTCCGCACAGCTACAAATGTCAAAGAGGCTGGCTCTCTGCTGTCTGCAGAGTTGGGGCTGCCACTCTTCCCTGCTGTCCCTGCTGGCTGCTGCTAGGGCTGAGCCGTCGTCAGTGGAAGGGGTGCAACTGAAATAATTAGCATTTGAAGTGGGTATAGCATTCATGAGTAATAGACCAAGTTGAAGTCATAATTAAGGAAGGAATTTTATTGGACTTTGTACATTTTGCCCACTATAAAATCTTGGCTGGGTTGGATTCTTCATTATTTGTTTGAGGGATCAGATGAAATGAAGATAGGGAAGTGAGAATTTGTGTGCCATTTCTCTTCTGTAATTTGGTTGGTCACTTTCGTGAGATAAACATGGCATTTAATTTCTCCAATGGCCAATGATTTCTTGTCATAGTGGAACTGATTATCTCTTTTTTTTTTTCAAGTCTTCCATGGATGAATTGATCAGTACAGTACTATATTAATTTTGTAGAATTAAAAAATTACGTAGTATATTTGATAATTTGTTATAATCTATATCCAAATTCTTTAATTTTCCTTTATTTTCTCAAGTTAATTATACCAATTTGGTAGTGAAATTTTATTTTTGCAATTCGATCCTCTCTGAGAACTTAAAATTATCCCTAGCATAGTACTTCTTATACATTCTTTTAGATATATGCAGTTCATTCTTTTCTTATCTTGTAAACTTTCAAGTCTTTAATTTTCATTATCAGGATTTGAGCATAACACACTAAAAGTGTTGAAAATTATTCATTTTAAAATGGTATTTTTTATTATGCTTTAAACATAAGACTTACTTTTGGCCAAAAGAATGAAACATCGTGACACCTCTATTATTACAATAATAATATGATTAAAATGATGATGTATGTCTTAATTTTGGAAGATATAATAAAAGATTTTAAAATATATATAAAAGATTTTTAATTATAAAGAATTATTTTTAAAATTTTTAATTTACTCTTACTCCTAAATCTTTATCTAATTAGTTCACTTGAGAAATATATTATTTTTTTTTTTTTTGAATTTGTAATTACAAAAAGTTTTGTCAATAGGCATGCCATTTGAAGCATACTCTCATGGTATCATAAATATACCACATATGTAAGAATTGAATTGAAATTACCACTAGTAAATCTCCACAAAATCTCAAAATAAAAACACAATCTAAATTTCTTTTCCATTTTATCTTTGCCTCTCAATCCCCTTCTCCAAACCATCAATGCCTCATCATTGCATTAAAGTTTTGAAAACAAAAAGAATTAAATCAAGTATACTAAAAAAATATATATCACTATTTTTTTATGAGATCTCTCGATATTTGATAATTATTTTTTATTTTAATTAATTTAAAATTAAATCAGATTAAATTTTATGAAAAATAAATTTTTTTAAATTAATTTTTTTATTTATAAAATTCAAAATCAAAACTTTACTTAAAAAAAATTAAATTCTTTATCACTTATAGCAACAAGCATTGGTCACCGTTAATATCTATTCATATACAATTATAAAACCAATATAAAATTATATCCAACAGAGATTTTCTTTTTTCTCACGAAACAAATGAGAAAATAAAAAACAAAACGACCAAACCATGAAAATACAAAGATATCCAAAGTAGGCTGTATAAATGACCAATAAATGCCCAAAGATCTCACTGTTATTCTCTTCAACCTTGGAATGTATATCAGATTTTGTTCTCGTCTGTAAACAAACAATCTATAAATTATTACTAAATACAAACCCAACACCCAACTCTGTACTTATAGATGGAGAAAAGAAACAAAGAAAAGAAGAGATCAAAGTGAGACAAAACCAAAAACCATCACCACCCTTTTTTATGTTGCTTCTTAAATCATAAATATTGGCTCTTCCCTTTGCTTCTTCTCCTCTCTCTTTATAATATATATAAATATATCGAGCCCCGCTTTTTATATCTATCTCTCTCACTGACCACTTTCTGTTTTCATTTCTCTTACAGCAGAGAAACTAAGGCATACACAAAGCTCATCCTTTAGTACCCTTTCGCTCTTATTTTCTCAGAAGTTTTATGGTTTTTTTTTTTGAGTGTTTCCGTTGCAAGAAAAAGAAGAAGAGAGGCAGTTGGGAGTTTGGTTTGAAAGGGACAGAAGTCGTTTGATGGGATTCAAGGAAGTGATTTTTGGATCGTAAAGTTGTGTTTAGTTTTTTTTTTTTTTTGAGAAAATGGGTGAAGCAGAGATGGTTTCAGCCTTAAAGCAGACACTAAAGAATCTATGTTGCAGTAATGGGTGGTCTTACGGTGTTTTTTGGGGCTTTGATCAGAGAAATTCCATGTAAAGTTTTTTTTTTTTTTTTTTGTAATATTTGCTTGATCGTTGTTTTGTTGTGTATGTCGTTTGCTTCTTCCAAATTTATGTTATCTTTGGCTTTTAGTTTGTTTCAAGATCTGCTTTCTTTGATAAAACTTTTATTACAACCTTTTCAATTGCATATTCTTTATTTTTTTTTTCATGTTTTTGCTGTATTCATTCCATTATATTTTCTACTCATGGGAATTGCCAAATATGCATGCATGTTTCAATTCAGAAACAATATTTCATGTTTTTTAGCAAGTTTTTGTAAATGAAAGAAATAAAAAAAATGGTGCTTTTCTTACTAAAATTTCTTAGCTATTTTTATTATATCCTTTAATAAGAAGCAAATTACAAAGAGATTTTTGACTGTGATAAACATCAATTTCTTAGTTTTTTTAGATTCAACGGTAAGTTTTTGCTAAATATAGATTGTACACTTGGAATTTTAACAGGTTGTTAACAATGGAAGATGCCTACTACGAAGAGCAAATTGGGCCATTGGTTGACAGTATGCTTCTAAAATTCCACATCCTGGGTGAAGGGTATGTTCAGTTATCAACTACTCTGTTTTAATGTTCGCTGTTTTCCTGTTGTAAATCCAGTAATTGTAGAGAAAATAATTCAAATTTTGGCACAATTGTTTTTTGTGGATCGTTTAATTTAAAACAAGAAGAGTAAATATGGAATATAGATTGCAAAGATCTCTAACAGGACAAATCGTGTTGTTTTTGTCAACTTAGAATTATTGGCCAAGCCGCTTTCACAGGAAATCATCAATGGATTCTATCAGATTCCCATGGTAAAGGTTTGGATGATTCCACCGGAAATCAAAGTATATTCCAGGTACCTTTTTCCTCTCTCTGTTTTTCCCCAATTTTTTCTTTCCTTTTCTTAGTTTTCAGTTTTGGGTACTTTATAACTGTTAATGCATCAAATCTTGATAACATGGTCAATAGTATTTCTTTTTCTTTTTATTTTTGTTATAGTATCGGTTTTGTTCTAATCACCTTATCGATTACGTCTGAGAAATAGGCAAAGAGGCATTGCATTGTTTTAGTCTATAATTTGACATTTTGCCCCCTTTTTACAGGTTGAATCCGAGTTACAAAACCAATTTTCATCTGGGATCAAGGTTCTTTTCAATTTGACAAAATATTCAATCCAATTATGTCAGTATCTTCTCCCTATGTCTGTATAAGCTTCATTTATTTACAATCAAATATGATCTGCAGACAATTGCAATAATCTCTGTAGAAAGGCGAGGAGTGGTTCAGTTTGGATCCACACAAAAGGTTAGTACATATGAACATGAGTGATATAATATTCTCCCTTATAAAAATGTGTTGAACTGAAGCTCATCACCCAATTTAGTTCTGGTTGGAGCCGTATGTTAACTTGTAGGTGCCTGATTGAGATTTGTAAACTTAGTCATTCCTCGCCACTGACAGCAGATCCAAACAGTTTTAATTTCTTATAGATGGAAATGTTAAAAAAATATCTGTACTTACAGGTCGCTTGGGAGTCTTTGTATGAAACTGTAAGAAGGTCTTATGTCACAATTCAAAGGCCATCAAAATATGCTTGTCTGTTGTTTATGAGCATTTGGAAATTCTGTTTCGAGTCTTATCTAGTCATGTTTCTATGGATTCCAATTAAGTTGAGATGCTGACCCCAACGGTAAAACTGGATTTGAGTACTGGTATGTTGCCTTATACATAAGAAACTTTCAGATTTCGAAGATCCTAAACTGGAACTCTAAGAAGAAAATGTAATTTGTTGTTCATTGTTCAAGCATTCTTCAGGGATCCTGTTTAATCTTTAAAGTAGTTAATTATCGAAACTAGTATATATATGATTAGTCTTTTTTATATTTAAATTTCTACTTAAGAAATGCTTATCAAAAACGAAAGGATTGATAAATTAATGTGTAAGTAAACATCCATCCCGTGCACTAGCATAGGTGTTACTGAAAAATACTAACTGTTGTTTGGTGCGGTTGCAGATTTTAGAGAGCTTGGAATTTTTGGATGAAACAAAGAAGTTATTTTATGACATGGGAAGTTGTCATGGGCTTACGCCTTTGGAAATTGAAACTTGCAATCTAGATGGACTTTTTGGTTCCCTAGCATCATGTGGAAATTTTTACAATGAGAATCTGACAACCGAACAATGTGGCTACCCTATAGAGCCAAAAGGGAGGTCATGTTCCTTAAAAAGTCTCACTGAATCCTCCTGTTTTATGCGTGAGGTTCAGGACCAGAGTACAAACTCTATGCAACAGAATTTATCTCATCTCAGAAGTCAACTGCCAACAAGCAGAGCAGAAGCTCAAATTTTATCGTCTGGCAAGATCTCTCCTGTTAACTGCATGGTTGCTGATACCCCTTGCACTAGTGCATGGACTAGTGAGGGTTCAATTTTGACTTCATTTGAGAGATCATTTCCATGTGAAAGAGGCATATGGGATTCTCCAAATGCGCTTCCTAAAAAGCCAAACTATCTTGTTCTCAGTGGAAATCTGGAACAAAATTTACAGGGTGCTTCAACATTTACTTCATTTTATAGCGGAGGAGAACTGGTTGATGCAGAATTACAAACTCTAGACAGCTTTGGGAAAACAGCAGAGAATCAACAACATTCTTTTGGCACTAATGATGGACTTTTGGATAGTGTAATTAGCCTACAAAGAATCAATGAGGAGTTTAACCCAGCTGACTTTACAACAGATCTCCCCAGCTCCTTTACACTGGATGATCTTTCTCAGTTGTTTTCTCCTTCACCCCAGCATAACATCAATGGAGCAGGAGCTATAATGACTAGTGATCTTTCATCTTCAATAGGAGTTACCTCAGTGTCATCCACTCTGGTCGGAGGTGATACAGTAATTAACATTCCAGTCAGACAAACAGCTAATTCATTCGAAAGCTCCATTACTGATACATTTATATCTAATGTGGAGAAATCTACCATTGTTCATGATAGTAGAAATGGTCTGTTTGATGGTGTGGGACTAGATTTTGCATTTGGAAAACCTGGGGAGTTCTTGGAAGATATTATCATGCCGTTGTTGCACGGTGATAACTCAGCTGTTGCTTCTGGCATGGCAGAAACTATTTCGGAATTGGATGTTCGTTCCATGACTGGCAAGCGAAAAGGGTTATTCTCTGAACTAGGCCTTGAAGAGCTTCTAGATGGTGTTAATAATTCTTATGTTACCAAATCCAGTGTTGAGGATCAATTTTCCACTACTAAAAGAAGGAAAATCGAAAGTTCTTCCTCTAATTTTCATCAAGGTCAGTTTGAGGGTCTTTCTTACTCTGGTGGGAGCATGAATCTGGTGCATCATTCACATAATTGGGACAAGAGTAATGATACTGTATTCGACAAAGAAGTTCACCAAAAATCACTAGGGATATGGATAGATGATAGCTATAGCATAAATGCTGGCCATGCTGTTGTTGCAACATCAAAGAAGCCCTCCAGGAGAAGAGGTAAGCCTGGTGAAAGTACTCGACCAAGGCCTAAAGACCGTCAGCTGATCCAAGATCGTATCAAAGAGTTGAGAGGGATTATCCCTCATAGTGGAAAGGTACTAGTGATGAGTCTTTGCTTTAATTGAGCATATACTGGGAAAATTTTTGCTTGCTATTATCTGGAGAATTCTGTAATGATTATTCATTTTGTTTACTTTAAGATAGCTATTACCTTTATAAGTTTTAATCATTATCATCTAAATTTACTTCTGGGACCAAAGCTTTTGTAACATAGTGAAGCATTTGTTTCTTTGATGAAGTGGCTTACGTTATTTCCCTAATGCAGCCATTGAGCATTGATCATTTATTGGAGCAGACCATCAAACACCTGCTTTTCTTGCAAGGTGTGACAAAGTATGCCGACAAGATTAAACAAGATGATGAACCAAAGGTAACCTGTTTGTTTGTTGTTTCAATGAAATATGATACTGAAGGAGCTCAGTGTCTGGTGATTGTACTTCACTAATGCGTTAACAAACTTGCTTGAACTTTAGCTTATTGGCAAGGAGAACGGAATGCTTCCGAAACACAACATGATGAGTGGTGGTGCTACATGGGCATTTGAAGTTGGGGCTCAGAGTATCCCTATTGTAGTTAAGGACCTAAATCCACCTGGCCAAATGCTTATAGAGGTATGGAAAGGCATATATATATATATATGTGTGTGTATGTATGTATGTATGTATTTTAAATGTAAAAGAACAAAGTCTCCTCAAAGTTGGCCAATTAAAATGCTATAAAAGAAATTTACTAATTAAACAATCGTGATAGTTTTACTGAAGCTTATCATTTGTTTGTTGCAGATGCTCTGTGAAGATCAAGGATTCTTTCTTGAGATAGCAGACGTCATTAGGGGCAATGGGTTGAATATCTTGAAGGGAGTGATGGAGCTCCAAGAAGATAAGATATGGGCACGATTCATTGTTGAGGTAAATATGGAAGTTAAAAATTCAAAGCAATATATTGAGACAACTTAAATATGATTTCAAGGAACTGATCCTAAAGTGAATATGACAGGCAAACAAGAAAGTCGAAAGGACAGGTATAATTTGGTCTCTTCTCCCGCTTCTGCGGCAAACAAGCAGCAGAGGGATTGATTCTGCAAGTCAGCCAAGCAGCGACATAGATGGTGGGATTTCCCTATTAAACAATTACCAGCAACCTTTGCTACTGCCTCCTGTCAGCATGGCTGAGACACTTCAATAATTAGAACACACATTTAAGGGTTCCAGAAGTACCTTGAGCATTCACATCTTAAGGACCTGCTGTGATTGGTGTTCTGGAAATTGAAGAGCCAAAACTGAAGATAGAGGAGGTTCTTCATTCCATTTTCAACTGTCCTAGACAAAATGTATATGGTTGACAGACTAGGAAATATTCTCAAAGGAGTGGCAAGTGATTTGTTTGCTCCCAATACTGTCACCGAAAAGGGTGGAGAGACTATCGGATGTGGAGCACTCCAGCAAAAGGAGGAAAAACCTAATAGATACTTGTCTCATCATTGGCGGGTATCAATCTGCTTTGCACGTGAGGGTTCTAACTGATGAATATTGAGCTATAGTTATTAGTATTGGCTTCTTGCTTGCTGCTCCCATAATTTGTTTATGATCCAAAGTAGATGACACAGTCAGCTGTAGGCTAACCGCTAATTATTTTTTTCTCGGTCCTTCTGTTGTTGTTTGATTAGCATAATAATCAATAGAATTAGCTTGCTTTGTCTTTCCAAATGTTGCATCTCCCTGGCAATTCTGTTACACCACTGCAGTAAGTACTTGTTTCTTATCACATTGAATTTCCAGTACAATATCAAAAATCACTTGAAAATTTCCTTCAGATTAACATGTTTACACTGATGCTAATAGATGCACAGCATTCCAAAAGTTCCTTGCCTCATGAAAGCAGACAGAGGGCTACCATGGTTGCACTTACATATCCTAGAGAAGCAAAACTGTGATTTCTTTCTCTCTCCCATGTCATATGTTTCGAACAGATCGATTAAGCAGATTTAGTCCCAACTAATTCACCAATGGAGTTGATTAACCTGATTTTTATTGATTGAACAACGAACGTTATTTTTAAAAAGTGGAGGAAAAGTTCTTTTTTTCTCCTTTTACATAATGCCATAAATTCTGGAAGGAAAGGAAAATATCTTACCTTTGGAATTCTTGGGTAGGGGGATTTATTTCAAATTTTAAACCTTCAATTCGGGGGAAAAGTAGATCCCTGCTGAATAGAAGGTGAATTTTGATAGCTGAATCTGGTAGGCCAAATAGCCCTAATTTAATTAATATTTATATAAGCGGAAGTAAAATCAAACAATTAATTAATTACACAAAAGATAGTAATTTAACATAATTTAATATGATTTAATCCAATCAACTTATGTCTAAGGATGATAAAAAAAATAATTATAAGTATACAAATCATATCAATTACTCAATAATTAATACTTACAGACCCTTTCAACTTCATCTAATCATATTTCTATCGAGTACTCTTAATTCAAACAAATACATACTCATACACCATACTTATATGAATTATCTTAATCTCCTCTAATTCACCTAAATAAAATAATCATTATGTTTATGTGGACTCTCTTAATTTTTAATTCACTCATAAATATTTAAATATATACACTCATAAAAACGTTAATCTTTAATAATTTTATGAGTTGTTTATCCAATAAAACTCTATAACTCTTTTATATATTTTTTTTATACTTAACTCTATAGAAACTTTACTTATTTATTAACATATAAAATTGTCTATCAAAAATCATTTTTTTATTAAAATTTTTATTCTATAAATTTTTTTATCCATTAAATAATATTTTATCAATCTCAAATAAATTATAAGATTTGAGTTATTATTTCAAACGAAATCAGTTTTTCAAATCAGTGTACTGCAACTATGGAAAGACTTCCCCTCAGAAGATATGAATCTCTCCATTCAAGTGAAATCAGCACAACCCAATGGTAGACCTGTTTAACATCCTAATGCCCCACTTTATTTAAAGATGGGGAAACTGGATGGTCCTATTCATGACCTAATTAAAATCCATAGATTCATGTTGGCATCTCCACTTTAGATGAAGATCTTTGGAGGAAAGGTTTTGCTGCAGAAGGATGACTGATTCATTTTGGCATGAGATTTATAGCTTTTCTGATGATTACTCAATGATATGCAACAAATCTTCAGTACATTGCAGTTTGATTTTTTGTAGGAAATTAAACCATCACATCAGTTCCCCTTTTCTTTGTACAAAATCTACTTTGATGATTTTGATGATGATTATAAAGCCATAGTTTGTTGCAGAATGCTTCATGCAATGCAATGATAATATCAATTGTGCGGCAACCAAGCTTTGGCATTAACTCTGATAACATTTTATAAGCCAAAAAATAGGTTAGGAGGATTGCAATAGCACATTATAGCTCTGTTTCATTCAAGGCCATTATGCCTACGTTATGAATAATTCAAGTAAACTGATATCACAAAGACAAAAAATCAAGATACTGACATGCTTTATCCAAAAGATTGGTGCTGTTTCCTAATTTTCTTACCTGCATGCGACAGATTAGAGAGGATTCCATTCAAAAATCCACTAAAGAGAGCAATCAAATAAAGAGCCAAAATTAGTATTTTTATGACCTAAATCTTGGTCTGGTGACGCTTAGCTTTTCAATTTAGGACACATTACGTCGGCAGCTCCCCAGCATAAGTCATCAATAGATTTCTTTCTCCATCTAGTTTAAGATCACCAGAGAGTGCTAATATCCTTGCAGAGTTTACCTAGAAGCAAAATGAACAACCTTGATATCTAAACTTCTAAATGCAGAAGAGGTTCAGAAGTTTCAAATAAATATGATCATAGAGCTAATGGGATTTTTCCAAGTGATATGCTTCATCGAGATTCATTTTCTAATGGGATTTCCTCGCATAAATGTTGCGGCTGACGATTGCATTTCTGGTTATTAAATCATTCTTACTTTATAAAAGAAAAGCAAAATACAATGGTAAAGAAGATGTGTAATTTCCAGAGTTAAAAATTGAAAGGAGATTATCTTTGCTGACACTTGTTTCCACATCACGACCTTATTACCTACCTACCATTACCAAAAAAGTATGAAATTCCTCTAGAATCCCCCATGCAATTTGAATTTGTTTTTTCATTTCCATTTTCTTGAAAAGATCGGCAACTCAGATTCAAAATGCCCTCCTATACATAATCCAATAGTGACGCTGATTTTAATAACCAAAGCCTCAGCGCAAACAGGGTCTGCTATAGTGCCTTGCTGTGTTTGCTTCCCATAGTCAACATATCACCAATCATTTCTGTATGATCTCAACTTATCCCATTTCAACGTTTGTTGTCGTGACTAGCGTAAAAATGGCTCCTGAGAAGGAAGTATTCGAGGGAGTGCAATGGAGGACAATGGTGGCTTACGGCTCATCCGAGGTTTTGCTTCCAGCTACAGGGCTTGCAAGAAAGGCGTGGCTAGGAATAAAAGGCAGATGGCATGGGACATGGGGTTAATGATCCTTGAAAACTGATCCATTGAATTAAGGTTGGACTGGCACCCACAATTGAATCCTTGTTCTACTACATGAAGCCTTTGTATGATGGCGTTTAATTTCAACTATAGATCAATCTTTTCCCAAAGTCCAAACATTCTATCGTTTAGTGTCGAAGCCCAAAACGAATTCAGGCTCAAAAAGAGCCCAAAGTTTCCTGGATCTTTCTAGGGTTTTCGACCCTCTTGTTCATTGTTTTTCATTTGATGAAAACAAATCAAAACCTTTTGAATTGAATCAGTTGATTTATTTGAAAGATGGCGGAAACAATCCTTACATCAGAAAGACCTTCCAATTCCTCTCCCTTAAATCCTCCTTCCCGTATAATCTGCCATGTGTATGTGCTTCCTTTTCTTCTTTTTTTGTTAAAATTTTCGTGTAATATTCAGTCATTACTCAATTTTTCGCACTGATTTTAAACAGGTGTCAGAAGCAATTCTCGCAATACACTTGCCCTCGATGTAATTCCCGCTACTGCTCTCTTCATTGCTACAAGGTAACCTCAATTTCACGCTTTATTCAATTTCGGAAATTAATTTTTATGTAATTTATTCTGAATTGAAAAAAAAAATTATTTTGGGGGGTGATTTTGCTTGTTGCAGTCTCATAGTCTTCGCTGTACTGAATCATTTATGCGAGAAAATGTAGTTGAGGAGCTGCGGCAACTGCAACCTGACGATGAAACTAAACGGAAAATGCTTGAAATTCTGAAACGGTTTCATTCGGAGGAAGAAACCAATCCTTTAGATGAAGATGTTGATGGTATTTTATTTTTAAAAATTTTTGCTTTGATTTGTTAGCTTAATTGGAATAAGCATTGTTTGAATTATTCTATCAATAAAAATGTAATCTGAAGTCTTCTTTTTTGGTTGGCAGATTCTACTCTTCCTGACGAGACTGTTCAGAAGATTTTGTCAGGTATTATTAGTAGAGCTGACAATTCTCGTGTCTGTCAATTTTGTACTTAAAGCTTGTAAAATACGAAAATTATTGTATTATAATTTGGATCAAACACCTCAAATACAAAACACATTTTTTGTTTTTGTTAAACTCATATATTGTTTTTTCTAAAATTTGTAATGGTGTCATATTTTAAATTGTCGGATCTAATTATTAGATTCAAAATGCCAAGTTTTAATTGCTTGGCTATGTTTTTTGTTCGTTCCATCTTACATCGATTTGTCTTATGAATTATGCCCTTTTTGCTTCAACAATTTGAGTTGATTTGTTGTTTTCTTTCTATAGGAGTTAAAGTTGATTTCGACTATTTGTCTCTTGAAGAGAAGAAACGATTCCAAAGGGCTCTGGCATCTGGAGAATTGAGTAAAATGATTGAGCCCTGGGATCCTTGGTGGTTGAAGCCTGCTGCTAGAAAAATCTGTCTAGGCAAGGATGGAGCTCGACTCATACAACCTATGGCCAATCAGGAAGCATTGGTGTCACCAGAAGATGTAGAAAGCAAGGAATCAAGTGGAATTCCTCTTGGCCCCGAAACAACGCTCCCTTCACTTTGCAAGCTCATTTCTACAGACCCATCTCCGTTGTTAGCCATTCATTTGGTTGACATTGTATATAGCTACTGCTTCACGCTTCGAGTCTACAATGGAGATTGGCAATCTGATGCCATAGGATCTGCAATGATGATATTGAGTATATCCTGTGTTTTGGGTCAAGCTGGACAGCCAGAAACTGTGCGGGAAGCTGTGTCTTATTGCTTGGAGCAAACTTGCTCTCCAGTTTACAGGCATATCGGTGGGTTGCAATTTGGATTGGCTCTTGTTGATGATGTAGCAAGCCTACTTTCTCTTGGAGGTCCTGCTTTAATCTGCATGCTTTGTGATCTACAAAAGATAATTTTAGCTGCGGAAAGGGAGTTGAAATCCGAGAAACAAAGAAAGCTCAGAAAGTCGGAAATGAAAAGCAAGCTGAAGCTTGCCGAGAGGAAGGTTTATTTCATTATGTGTTGGGTTCACGAGCAACCAGGGGAAGCATGGTCTTCTTTAGCAGACATTTTGAGAGTGGAAAAGAGTTCATTCATGGAATATGGAGGCAGTAAAAGCTTTCCAAAAACAGAGAATGTAGCAGAAAACAAGGGCAAAGTTGTGATAGAGGAAATGTAATGTATTATTTAAACATTTACTATTCTATAAACAAAAATCAAGTGACTGTTGGTTATAGTTGTATATTTAGATGCAACATTTCAATGTCAAAATTCAGTTTTGCTTTCAGTTTTGCATCAATTTAAAAGAGAGTATCAGAATCCATCCTCTCTTATAAATCATTTTCTTTTGGTGCACAACTTTCTTGTTTTCCTTTTATTGAGAAAAGATTGGAATCAGGCTATTTTGAATAAGAAATAATGCATTTTCCTTTTTTTGGTGAAAAAAAATGGTGATATCCGATTTTAACCTACGAATCTATCTGCATGGATCAAGGCCGTCCACGCTAGAAAAGCAGATAGATCAACGGCTCAGATTGTGCTTCAGAGTCCTGACAGTTGACGGTTCTGGAAAGAAGGAAGGGGAAGTAACGTTCCCATTTTCTTGGCAACAAAGTCAAGTGTTAAACGACGTCGACTCGCATATCTGCTGGTCTCACAAAGGGTCGTTTCATGACAGTTGGAAATTTTTATTTTTACGAGAGTTGAAGATTGCAAAGACAATGGTACTTTTGTAAATTCACAACACCGTGGCGCCTAAGTCTGGTAGGCGATCCGACACTATTTAGAACATTCCAGTCCATTTCAAGTAAACACCAAAAAAAAAAAAAAAAACCAGAATCAGGAAGAAGGTAGAAAGTTTCCCTGTCTTGTTTTCGGTCTGGGGCTTCATTTTGCTGCAAGAAAGAAAGAAAAAAAACCCTAATATTTTATTTTTATAAATTCTCGAGAAATGGTTGATGTAGCCGATAAATTGGCATATTTTCAAGCGATCACAGGCCTCGAAGATCCCGATTTGTGTACGGAAATCCTCCAGGCCCATGGTTGGGACCTCGAAGTCGCCATCTCTTCCTTCACCTCTTCGAATCAACCCTCCGCTTCCACCACAACCTCTGACTCAGAGCCTCGCGATTCACTTAATCGGACAGAATCCGGCCCCGTTTCCGGTCTCGTTACCGCTGTCGCACCGGGTTTAGCGTGGAAACTCGTTACATTACCGATTTCCGTGATATCCGGTAGTCTAGGGTTGATCTCTGGTGCTGTTGGGCTTGGTCTATGGGCCGCAGGCGGAGTTCTTTCGTATTCCCTCGGGATGATCGGGCTGGGCTCTCTGCAGGGCGGGGAATCATCGGCACGATTAGTCTCGGTCTCAGCTGCGGCTTCTGAAGCGATGGATTTCGTGGCGGCATTTGAGAGGGATTACGGAACGAGGAGGCCGAATTTTGTCGGCGAGGGTTTCATGGACGCGCTGCAGAGGTCAAGGAACGACTTTAAACTGTTGTTTGTGTACTTGCACTCACCGGACCACCCGGATTCGCCTGTATTCTGCGAAAGGACGTTGTGTTCTGAGGCGGTGGCGGCCTTTGTGAATGAGAATTTCGTGGCGTGGGGCGGGAGCATTAGGGCTAGTGAAGGTTTTAAGATGAGTAATAGCTTGAAAGCCTCCAGTTTCCCATTTTGTGCCGTTGTTATGCCCTCTACAAACCAGAGGATCGCGCTTCTTCAACAGGTATGATCGTTGTGATTCTCACTTTTACTTTAGATGAAATTGTTAATAACGGAATTTGATACTGTTTTCGAGTGCAAAAGATCACAGTGATTAATTATCCTTTAGAAAAGTCAGAAACTGAAATTGACCTATTGTCCATACTCTCAGATAGGTTTAAGTAAATTTATGAGTGCAATTAATCACATGATACTGGATAAGTGGGTGGAAATCAGGGATTTCATTCTAATTGTTGTTTTGTCATTGTGTTTCTGCTGAGCACGAATTTTAGATGTAATTTCTGCTTACTTTTGTTATGCATTGATAAATAATCTGGACCATGGATTTTCTAGAGAGGAAACTATACTGATTGTGTGTGAGGAATTGAGTTTTACATGGCTGCTAACTAGGCATATTAATTCTTTGTTAAAGGAAAAGAATTCTGAATAAATCATCTTTTAATGATTAATTACAATAAAGCTTATCTTATCTGATTTTTGGTACGCCAGATAGCACTTCCTCATATTTTGTGATATGGCATTTTGAGACTTAAATCGTGCTTACCATGGGCCATTACCTTTTCAGTTTCTTTACATTTAGGTGCAGCTTAAATCTTTCCTTCATACCAAACTACATGTTAACTTGTTTGCCTGTATATGTTTTAGTAAATTCATTGGAAAATTTAATAGCACTAGTGTTTCTCATTATTTTCAACTTTAGGTTGCTTTCCCTTGTCTTTATAAATGGTTATTTAATGGGTTTATCTCTGTGCAAGCGTGGACTTGTTCACTTTCACAAATCAGGTTTGTACAGTTTCATTATCATTTTCTCACTTTGCATTCCACCTACATGTTGATTGGGATTCAAGATGTTTGATACAGAGATGCCAATCAGTAATTTATAGTTGATGGTGATGCTTGTTTAGAGCAGCATAACCATATAATATATACTAGGCATCTGTCTTTTTCATATTTGAAGCTGTTAGGGAAGGAACATAGAAAAGAAAATGCATTATAGTATTTTTGCAGTTAAAATTTAAGAGATTTAGCTCATCTCCACTAACTTTTATTTTCCATCATTCACGAACTATAGCTTTATACTACCTTCTGCGTGAAGTTATCTCTTTCTTAATCTTCACTTTCTTTGCCTTTTACTTCAGAATGTACTGAACCCCAGGAATGTCAGTATTCTGAATGGTGATCTTGCTTTTTGAATATTAAATTGAACTACTCTGCAGGTTGAGGGACCAAAATCTCCTGAAGAAATGCTTATGTTACTACAGAGAGTGCTTGAAGAAAGTGCTCCTGTTCTTGTTGCTGCAAGACTAGATGCAGAAGATAGAAGAAACAACATGCGTTTAAGGGAGGAACAAGATGCTGCATACAGAGCAGCGCTTGAAGCTGATCAAGTAGGCTGCTTTTTAATCTTAAATTAATGACTTTAATAATTGTTACTTATTTTGGGCCAGATGGTGTACTATATTTTTTTCATTCCACCATCATATTCCAAGAAGACTAGAAATGAAAAACAATAATCCCTCTTTTTCTTGCTGAATGGATATGTGCTGTAAAAAGTAACGTTGGATGATGATATGACACTTTCTTGAACTTGTCATTCCTTTTATGATATTAGGCTAGGGAACGTCAGAGGAGAGAGGAGCAAGAACGTTTGGAAAAGGAAGCTGCAGAAGCTGAGCAGAAACGTAAGGAAGAAGAAGAGGCTCGTGAAAGAGCAGCACGTGAAGCTGCTGAAAAAGAGGCTGCCCTAGCTAGAATGAGGCAAGAAAAAGCCTTGTCACTTGGTGATGAACCTGAGAAAGGACCAAATATTACACAAGTAATTTCTTTCTGGTTTTGACTTTTTTTTTTTGGGATCTGATTAAGCTGGTTTAAGCACTTTTCTTATCACAGTTCAGATGATCTGTCATTCTGTTGCAAACTTGCAATTTAGGACAGTAACACTTTTCTTTTTCTTTCCACTTATCCATCATCGCCCCGCATTTTCCACTTTTCTTTATTGGCATACTTTTAATACTTCATTATTCCCAAATTGAATATTTGCCTGTTCTGTTGGCAAACCAGGTTTTGGTACGCTTTCCTACCGGTGAACGCAAAGAAAGGAGGTTTCACGGTACTGCAACAATCCAATCTCTTTATGATTATGTTGATTCTTTGGGTTGCTTAGAAGTTGAGGATTACAGTCTTGTCTCCAACTTTCCTCGAGTTGCATATGGTCCAGAGAAGCGCTCCTTGACCTTGAAAGAGGCAGGATTACATCCTCAAGCCAGCCTTTTTGTGGAGCTTAACTAGTCTGAAGAAGTTGATAGTGTCTAGTTGTATGATGATGATAGTTTCAAAGATTCCTTTAAGTAGAATACATATTTTCTTATGTTTCTGTCTCATTTCAACATAATTAGCACTGATAGATTGAGACAAAGATAGCTCAGAGTGTCTGGATATTTAACTTTTCTTCAATTCAGATTCAATCAACCAAATGGCTGAGTTTGTGTTAAAACATGGGCTTTTAGGGTTCTATAAGAATTCCATACGATAGTGGTGTTCTTTATTCTGCCGCTTGCCAGTTCTACTAATGTCATTATGGTTATTGTATGAAAAAAAAAAAAAAAAGCCCTTCTAAGTACATCACAAAATTTTCTTTATACACTCTTTAACGTTTTCTTCCAAAAAAATCAACATAATAAACACCAATTTTAATCTTTAATAAATGATAAAAATACCTTTGATACCTTATACATTTCCAAATTACTTTTTTAATATTTCAAAATTTTATTTTCAAAAATTATATTCCGTTATCATAAATGAATTTTTGAGAATTCTCAAAAATTCATTTTAGAAAATACATAAAATTTTGTTTAAATATATTTTTAATTACAAACTCATGATAATGTTTAATTTGAATTTAAATAAAATAAATAATATTAAAATAAATTAATTTTTTTATCAATGTCTAATACAAAAAAGTCGATTGTGTCATTGACAATGTCGTCAAAAGATTGATAAATTCGACAGTAAAAATTTGTAGCTGAAAGATTGAAAATCCTTATTATAGGATTTGTCAATTTGTTGGTGACATTGTTAGAGTCAATGTTTTATAAGATTTTCAAGCTTGGACTAGCATGCATACACACACGAGTAATTGATATGCCAATTCTTACTTAATCATATGTGCAAATGAAAGAGACATATTAGTTAACAAGCATGTATAGGCATAAAGTGTTTTGGTTTTGAAATCAAAAAATTAAGAATACTCTTTTACCAATGCAAAATCAGAAAATGATATTCTCAATTTTTTGGAGGCTTAAAAAAAAAATAAGTTTATAATATACATGTTGAGAACATTGATTTCAATTCTTTTTACACATATGATCAAGTAAATTGATTCATAAGTATATGAGTAAGGTTTTTATTGATGAAAAGTGAAATTGAATTTCTCAAAAATAAATATTCGAGAAGATTTCAAAATTCTCGAATAATAATTTTTAAAAAGACTCGAGACTTATCAGAAATGAATATCTAAAAAATTTTTTAGACTTATTGAAAATAAATATTTGAGTATTCTTAAAGTTTTTTAGATATCTATTCTTAAAAAATCTCAAAACTTTTCAGATATTTATTTGCAAGAAGTTCAATTTCAAAAAATGAAGAGAGAATTAAAGAGAAATGGTAGAAATGAAAAATATAAAGTGAGGGTTGAAGTGTATTTAGTAAAAATAGAAAATTGAGTTTTGAATTTGTGATGTATTTAGATATAAGATATATAAAGTAATAAATATGATGTAAGTAGAATTTCCAAAATAAAATTGTATCTGATAAGTATATGATTCGGGCTTTTATATCAGTTAAATTGGTCTACGTTAAAACAAGTCCAATATTTGTTATTTCGAGTAAGTGAGTTTCGATGCAAATCGGAACCTAGACGCGTCTCATGGGAACCGGGTCTCTAGAAGCTGACCCGGCCTGGCATGGCAAAGTCCATGGACACCTCTAGTGTTGTGAATCTGTCAACTACAGCATCAAAGCTGCTTTAGTTTCTGTACCAATAAAGAAATTGTTCATATTTGGTTCTGAAAATTGTTTCACAATTTGCAAGCCGAACAAATTTGGCTCATCATGTTTATTTTAGCATACGGGAATTCCAAAATGCATTCCATATTTCCAATCATTCGATGAACTAGACTTGAGATTTTCAAGTTGAGAAGGAAACGGAATCAGAATGGACGTGAACATCATCGTTGAAACACGCTTTAGAACATCCCTTTGGCCTTTGAATATATAAATATATGTATAAGTATGTGTGTGTGTGTGTCTATATATATATATATATATATATATATATCCAAAATTAAGCAAAGAAAATGGAGCAGTTTGTGGTCAAACGAACCTGAAATAGACAAAAGATTCTCTTCCAAAGAAAGAAATAGTGAATCCCATATTGCATGATCTTCTAAAAAATTGAGAGAGAGAGATTTGATAATTCTATCATGCATTTTTTATTCGAAGGACTGGAACTGATCAAAAGGTCGCTGAAAAGGTTGAAGTGGACATGAAACAAACCTTCAAAATCAATATTAAGAAAATAAACATTTAAACACCCTTTTCCTTGCTGTATAGACTAATATATATGACGGTCTTTTAGTTGCCAGCAGGTATGGTCAAAGTTCTTTCTTTGTGTCTGAGGTATTTTAGCCAATACCAAGTGTTTCTTGAGTGAAAACTTTGCTTTAGGCAATTTTGACAATTTTCAAACAGCCATTCCTTAAAATCCTATCTCAAGGGTTTGTCTTCAAAGTTAGTCTAAGTTTGCTTTATATACTTCTGGTCTGACTTTGGTTCAAGTCATTTGTAGAAAATTTTAGCACAGAAAAAAGAGAAACCTTCTCTGTCTCTCAAATCTCTATATTTATCTCTCTCGGTCTCTCATAAGAAGAGGAAGTGGAGGGGGGTGGTGCAACCATGGGGCGTAGCAAGATAGAGATGAAGTTAGTTAAGGACAAAACTTGCAGGCAAGTTACATTCTCAAAACGTCGAGCAGGTGCGCTTAAGAAAGCCCATGAAATTTCTGTGCTTTGCGATGCTCAAATTGGCCTCATTATCTTCTCAAGCACTGGGAAGTTGTTTCACTACTGCACTCAACCACAAAGGTTCCAGCATTTCAGTTTCACTCTCTCTCGCTATGTTTCATATCTCCTCAAAATACTTGGATTTGTTTGAAGATGATCGTTTTTTTTTTTTATCCTATAGCGTGGAAGAAATCATCAAAAGATATCAACTTGGCAAAGGGACTCAAACTCCTGAACAGAGTGACTTGGTAAAATCTTTCTCAGTTAGTCTATATATATTTTGAAACATTTTGAATATACAGACTTGAATTTTGATGATTTTCGTTCTAAAAATGCATGAATTTGCAGCAAAGTATGTCTGAGAAACTAAAAGAAGAAAACCATCGTTTGGAACTGAGCTTGAACCACCTCAATGGCAGTGAGTGGAATTCCATAAAATGTTAGGATTTAGAAGAGCTTGAACAAAAACTGGAATGCTCAATTTACAAGGTTAGAGCCAGGAAGGTATCTCTCCTGACGCATCTCCCCTCCTTTTAATTTTTTCCCTTCTTTCTCATTATTACGAGCGGATTGAGGGGCTTAAACCAATACAAATTACAAAATGTTGAAGCATCTGCCATAAAAATCATCATACTTACCTTTTAAATAATCTTATATCACGCAGGAGCAGCTCTTGAAACTGCAAATGAACAATCTAGCAAGAAATGTAAGACTATTTGCCTAGTGTGTGTGTCACGGGTCGAGACTTAAGTTCCGAACCCGCACGGTTTTAAGATCCGGACATCCACTCATCCAGCGTCTCAGATTAGTTTTCCTGTTACGATTCACACCTTTGTGAGGTATTGTCCGCTCTGGTCCCCCTGACCTCATGATTTTGTCTTACAAAAAGCGTCTTACAAGACAGAGGTGGTGTAAACCCTTTTATACCTCAGTGACCCTCCTATTATGTTCGATGTGAGATTCAGGACTCTTCTTTAAGTCCGTGACATTCTCCCTCACCCAACCTCGTAACGTCTTCGTCACGGAGGCTGGCCACTCTGCCTACCTCTCTCGAGGCGCTCGGGATGGATCGAACGGTTTAGGGTTGGCTCTGATACCACTTGTCACGAGTCGAGACTTAACCTTCGAACTCGCGCGGCTCTGAGACCCGGACATCCACTCATCCGACGTCTCAGATCAACCTTCCTGCCATGATTCACACCTTTGTGAGGTATTATCCGCTCTAGCCCCCCTGGCCTTACGGTTTTGTCGTCACGGAGGTTGACCACCCTGCTTACCTCCCTCGAGGCGCTCGACGTGGATCGAACGGTTTAGGACTGGCTCTGATACCACATGGTTTAAGGCTGGCTCTGATACCACTTGTCACGGGTCGAAACTTAAGCTTCGAACCCGCGCTGCTCCGAGACCCGAGCATCCACTCATCCGACATCCCAGATCAGTCTTCCTGTCACGATTCACACCATTGTGAGGTATTGTTTGCTCTGACCACCCTAATCTCATGGTTTTATCCTACAAAAAGCGCCTCACAAGATAGAAGTGGTGTGAACCCTTTTATCCCCCAGTGACCCTCCTATTATATTCGATGTGAGATTCATGACTCTTCCTTAAGCCCGTGACATGTGCACTCACCAACAAACAATAATATGTTATTAGAACCTAGCTAGTTAAGATTTAAACTTTTACATTAATTTTCCTTTAATTCTGTGATTAACAATGTTATAAATAATGTCTAGGTTGAAAAAATAGAAGTGGAAAACAACCAACTTTGCCATTGAGTGAGTACAATATGCATTACCTTATACACATTAATTTATTTTTTAAAATATTTTTTACTAATATTGATATATAATTCACGGTTTTTCCACTGGAATCTTTGTTAGCTTTGTTCATTCAATCATTTTATTAATCTCGCTTACTTCAATTTTAAGACGAAGGTAAGGATTTTTTTTTTCATTTTCCTTTTCATTTATTTTTTGAAATGATTCGTTTAAGGCATATTCAAATTGAAACACTTTGATAACCAAATGTTTATTAAGTTGAAATTACTAAATTTTTTAATAATTATTGAGAATGATTTCATGATTTACAATTATCATTAAAAGATGAATGTTCACCCATTTTATTTCATGACAAAGCATTATAATTTTGATAAATAATTTTGAAAAATACAAGTTTTAAGTCTTAAAATAGATCAAAATATTTATAACTTTATATGCAATTTTTTTTCTAAGGAGAATTAAGTATGGCTTGGTATTCACTTGAAGTGCAATGGATTCATTTTCAATAAAATTATGTTTGAACTAAAACGACATTAGCACTCAAATAGGATGCGATGAGAATAAATTTTTATTGCACCAAAATTACTCACCATATGGATTCTTACAAAATGATTATTTATATCAAGAAAAAATAAATAAAATTATCATGTTATTTTAAAAATAATTTAAATTTAATATTTTTAATTTTTATTGATGTTTTAATTATTTATTATTTACAAAAATAAAAAAATATATATTAAAAAAAAGGAAAAACAAACAAATAAATCAAATAAATGGTGCCTAAGAAGAATGAGAATTTTCATATAAAATCAAACGATGAATCAACTTTAAGAACGTTAGTATAAAAAAAAATCATATAAACAAATTAAAGGAGGAAAAGAATTCCCCCCAACAACAAAGAATTCTACATCTCTCCAATAATAAAAGTGATAATAGTCCAAATTGAATTAGATTTAATTTAATTTTTTAAAATATTATATAATATTATAAATTTTTAAAAATTAATTCAAATTTAAATTGAATTTTTATAATATTTAAATTAAATTAATTTTTTTGATTTATCAATTTTTAAAATTTAATTTTTTATTTGTTACTTTTATATATTATTTTAATATAAAATTTTAATATATTTAAATAAATTTTGATATAAAATTATTATTTTTATTTTATAAAAATTTAAAAAATATATAATTAGATTCCATTTAATTTTTTTAATTTTTAATATAAAATTATATTCAAACATAATATATATATATATTTAACATTTAAAATTGATTCAAATCAAATAAAAAATTCAATCCAAACTAAATTAAATATTTCAAACTCAAATCAATTTTTAAATTTTTCTTTTTTTTTTTTCACCCTCCCAACATCTTGGTACGGCAATTAAAACCGGAGTTCCCTGTCCCCTGAAAATCGGTAGAATCCATTTTAAACACTCTACCTCAAACACACGCTCCTCAACATGCGCGTGTGATTCTCCCCCACCCCACTCCCAAAATCCCGTAGTGCCGTATTGCAGTTGGCGATAATGATGGCTGCGTTTATGCTTCTTTAAAGTAACGGTTTTTTTTTATTAATTTTTAACCTGCCCTACTCCTTTGTAAACTTTTTAATTTTTTAATCTTTCCTCTCCAAAATTTCCAGTGATTAGAATTCCTCTTGCCTCAGAATCTCACAATTCCAAGAAAAGAAGGGGGAAAATTAAAATGCGGATAGCACTATGGGGGGAGAATTTGGGATTGGTATAAAAATAAAGAGAAAATCGAATCAACGAAGAAATAACCGTATGGAATTGGAGTATCGTAAACCTCCGGAAGATATGTGTTTGATCGTGGCCGTTGGATGCCGGCTCAGATTCCGTTCGGCATTCGATTCGTACTCGATAGCTTGTGAGGCATTCTCTGAAAAACTAAAGATTCTCTTCTCGTCGTCTTCGCTTCCAATCGGCGTCAAAATTGACCTCTAATAGCGTTTTCTGCCTTTTTCCCTAAGATTTTGTTTTTTCTTTTTTTATGAATTTTATTTTGGCTGTTGTTGTTGGAAATTTCGATCGGGTTTTGTGGTTGTGTTATCGGTTAGTTCTTTGTACATAGAAAAAAATAATGGAGGCGGCTGATGATGTTGAGTTCGCTGAGAAAGATCCGTCGGGTCGGTACGTTCGGGTACGATTTTTTGGCTCCGAAATCTTTTTTTTGTTTATTTTTATTCAATTTTGCGTTGTTAGGTTTACCTAGTATCTGTTTGGTTGCCAAGAAATTTGGAGAAAAGCAATTTGACTTGTAATTCTCTAATTCTGAAGGAAATTGTAGAACTCTTACAAATAATCAAATACTGCTTAGGCTTAAGTTAGTATGAATTTTGATAAATTACTGTCCAAGGTAATTTTTTTCATTAATTTTCTTATCAACCAAACAGCGTAAGTTGAGTAATGCAATCAATTGACCAGAATTTAAGCAAATTTGATTGTCCTTAGCTTCTACTAAATTATTAAGTTTGAAAATATCTCATTTTTAGCTCTTTTTAGAGCTCTTGTAAGTCATTCTTTTTGCTTTTTATTGCAAAGGTGAAATAATTGCTTTTTCTACTTCTATTTTAATGAACATGACAAAATTTGATTACAGTAATGCCTTTAACAAAATTAAGCTTAACACAATTGTATGGCTAACCAAGATGCCAATGTTGTCCCCAATATATTCTTAAATTTTTATATTTTCCTTAAATAGTTTGCTTTATTAGAATTTAAATTAGTTTTTTTCTTTCGGATTTAGTGATACAATTTTTTTGGTTTGTTTTGTTTTTATTCCTCCAGTATGATGAAACCCTGGGGAAGGGAGCATTCAAGACTGTGTATGGTTTCAAGACCCATCTTCTTTAAACTTAGATTAAACTTAGATTACTTTGATAGGAATCTGTGTTTGATTAATTGTTCTGATTTGTCTGCCACCTTTTTATTTGTAGTTACAAGGGGTTTGATGAAGCTGATGGAATAGAGGTTGCATGGAACCAAGTCAATATTGAAGAAGTATTGCAGACACCTGAACAGCTGGAAAGATTATATTCAGAGGTTCACCTTTTGAAGTCATTGAAACATGAAAATATTATGAAGTTCTACAACTCCTGGGTGGATGATAAGAACAAGACGATCAACATGATAACAGAATTGTTTACTTCGGGGAGTTTGAGGCAGTGAGTCCATGAACTTCTTTTCTGCCTGGCTTATCATTCATTTATAATATACTGAGATTTGCTTTCACCTATAGATATCGTAAGAAGCATAAGAATGTTGATTTGAAGGCCATCAAGAACTGGGCACGGCAGATCCTTAGAGGTTTACACTATCTTCATAGTCACAATCCTCCGATCATTCATAGAGATTTAAAATGTGATAATATATTTGTAAATGGAAATAATGGAGAAGTCAAGATCGGAGATCTTGGGTTGGCAACCGTCATGCAGCAACCTGCAGCCCGAAGTGTAATTGGTACTTCATTTTCTCAAAAATAAGTAATGCTGTAACTTCAGCTAAACCATTTTGGTTGAAATTTGTAATACTTTTTTGTTTGTACAGGCACTCCTGAGTTCATGGCTCCAGAGCTTTATGATGAAGAATATAACGAACTTGTTGACATATATTCTTTTGGCCTGTGCATGTTGGAGATGGTTACTTGTGAATATCCTTATAATGAATGCAAAAATCCAGCACAAATATTTAAGAAAGTTACCTCTGTAAGTTGACAACTGTCTCCAATACTTCACATCTTCCCACAATTCTCTTTTAACTGGTTGTTTAAACTCTCTCAACTTCTTTCCCTGCAGGGTATTAAACCTGCTTCCCTTGGTAAAGTGAATGATCCCCAAATTAAGCAGTTTATTGAGAAATGTCTTCTTCCAGCATCTATGAGATTGCCAGCTGTGGAGATCTTGAAAGATCCTTTCCTTTTGGTTGAAACTCCCAAAGAAGTTCCCAGTGGTCCACTGAAGTTACCAAATCTTATGCCCAACTTAATAAACTTGGTCGAGTCTGAACCTCATCCAATGGACACAGATCCTAACTTTAAAAAGCTTCTGGTCAATTCTTCTACAAAAAGCATCAAAGAAACTCCTCGGTCCATAACTCTTGAGCTACGGTGTTTCACAGAGAATAATGAATTCAGGTTAAAAGGGGAGAAAAATGATGATAATACAATCTTATTGACCTTGCGCATTGCTGATCAATGTGGTAAGTGAATCTACTATAAAAAATAAGTCTAACTCTCTTATTTATGTTCTAAAAAAGAAAAAAGCATTATGCACTACGGTGTCTTTTAACAGGTCGGGCAAGGAATATCCATTTTGCATTTTATCTAGATTCTGATACTGCTATTTCAATCGCTGAGGAGATGGTTGAACAACTTGATTTGTCAAATGAAGATGTAACTGTCATTGCAGAGTTGATTGATAGCATGATCATGAAGCTTGTATCATGCTGGAAACCTTCATCTGGAAGCATTTCACTCCCACAAGATGGCTTATGCCACCCAAGTCAAGCCATTATTAAGACAGTTGGTGAGCAAGAAGTTTTCTCAGAGTGGGCTGTTGCAAATTGTCAAGACACCCAAAAATCTGTCAGTTCAGAAATATTAGCTGAATCTGATGGAATGGTAGGCTCAGATGGGAGCGATAACAAACCAACGGGGTCTTCTGGTTATGGTAATGGTGAGTGCTATAAAGGTTCAAGCACATATGGGTTTGGTTTAGATACCGAGGCTTATAATCATCTCGGGCATAAAGAGGCCGGTGATGAGGAAAACCTTGGGGTATCTGTTGTGATAAACGACTCCGTAAAGTACTCTGACACATCCTTAATGGATTCTTGTTCTTTTGCATCTCAAGATATGAGCTTGTCAAGCATCTGCTCTCTATCCTTAGCAGACCAGGATAAGTTTGACGAGCTGAAGTTGGAGCTTGATGCGATTGATTCACAATTTCACCAGTATTTCCAAGAGCTCATGAGGTTGAGAGAAGAAGCAATGGAAAACGCCCAAAAGAGGTGGATAACAAAGAAGAAAGTATCTGTTATGTGATGTGCAAATATTTTCCTTGCTAGCGATTCTTGTGATAGTTGCTTTTTTTTTTAGCTGACTGTTGCATTGGAAGAAATCATTTGTTGACAGATTTCATTTATTTGGTTTATTGTTTGATTTTAGTCCATTGATTCATCGTTGATACCTTGATTTGTGATTCTAAGAGCATACTTGATGTATAGGATAATAGATTGAGATATGATGATTATTTTTATATTATGTTTGGTTTGTAATTAAAAAAAAATAAAATAAAATTATAAAAAATATTAATCATCTTTTTTAAAACAAAAAGAATTAATTTTAATTTATGAAATTGAATTTATATGTTTTATTATATTTTTAAAAATTATATTAATAATTTAAATTATACAAATTTTTAATAAAAATTTTAATCAATAAATAAAATTATTATATTTTAATCTTTTCATGCATATTAAATATAAAATAAAATAATATTATTTAATATAATATTATTTATAATATTTTATTTTATTTTATTTATACTCTTTGTACATCAAATATGTCATAAAAGTCTTTAATGACCTTTATTATTCTGGAAAAAACAGAGCACACCTTTTTTTATTGCATGATGCCACTATACTTCTTTTCATTAACACTCAAATTCAATACCTCTTGAGCAATGGATTAACTAAATTTGTGTGTTGAAGATAAAATGTTTAAATTCTACTTTTGCATTAATATGATACTACTATGCAAAAAGTTTTTAGTAAGATCACAACTCCTAAGCATTTGAGTTAATGATGAATACATCTCATTACTCAAAAATAAAAAAATCCCATTCCCCCCAAAATTATACTAATAAAAAAAGACATTGACAGTAATATGGAAAAGTTGTGGCCCTTTTATTATTATTATCTGATAAAAAGACAAACTAGAGTGGGCTCCTTTGAATTTGTTTACATGGGGAACCTCTGCTTATTAGTTTTCAAAATGTAGAACACGTGCTTTCTGCTTGATTAGCTACAGCAGGACAGGTGCTTTGGTTTTAAGAGGCGTTGATAGCCTAAAAGCAGACAATCAAAATTGACAGTATGATTGTGCATGCCATTGTCTAATTCTGTCTCACTAGAGTGGTAGCAATACGCCAGTTTTTAGTTGTATTTTCTTGTCAATTATTATTGGTTTCAATTATGAGATTCTTCTGTATTAAAGTAGCGATATTTCTTCTCCGTCTCCGTCTCTCAAATCTTTTGTGCAGTTGATTTTTCAGGATCCATATATATTAATATTATCCCACCAACAAAAACCAAAGAGAGTAGGGACAAACGGGCGGCCCCCAAAAGCTGCATCAATCAGATGACGATACTTTTGGACCTGCCCACATTATCAAAATAGAAGCTAGAACCTGTTAAATTGTCGAATCCCATAACCAGAATTGACCAGTAGAGCAAATGCATATGGTCTTACGCTTTTGTTGGGATAAAAAATCAGGCCATAAACGCTCTTAGTCATATTTTGTAAGCTTTAAGCTCAATATCAATGTTCCGTAGACTGAATCAATGCGACTTGTATTACTGAACTAGAGATTTATCATAAATAATCGCAGACGCTGTGCTTCCAACAAGCTGAACAATTGCTTTAGTGAAGCCACTTCGGTATTTGATGCTTATAATTTTATAAAAAAAATGCTGAAAATTAGCATCAGCAATTAGGGAAAAACTATAATTTCGATCTAATATGAAGATTCAGCCTTTGCCATTTCTTTCCATCCAGTTATTTCCCAGTTAATTATGCACTTCAACCGGTCTCCTTCTCATCTGCTCCTCCAACGGGGAATAAATTGGCGTTGGACCCCAGATGCGTGAACAACTAATGGTGCTGTAACACTGATTCTATGCTGAAAAGTTTGAAAACTCAGATGCTTCAAATAACCCATATATACACATCAAAACATCTAAAACACCTTATACATCAACCAGGTCTTTCCAGTTTCCATAAAAATATAATCTTAAAACAGAAACATATGTTCTCACTAAAACCAAATACTATGCATTAATATTTGAGCAAGTCGATCTCGATAACAAACATTAAAATTGGCTAAATATCAATAAACAGCCTCAAATCTCAAACATGAAATATTTCTTTCTACCACAAATGATATCTTGCCAATTACAATAATCACTTGTGGCACATAACTTGGGTTGTTTGCTTCTACTGATAAGACAACAACACAAGTTCCTCAATTATTTCACGTGCATCATCACATCCCACATCTGGTCTAGGCTCACCCTTACAAATATATCCTAGTAATCAAAGGAGCGTATAAAATGCCACTGAAGATATATTTCAAGCCACATTATGATAGTTGTAAATGCAATTTTACTTTCCATAAACAGGAAGTTGCGGCTGCAGACTACAAGAATCGAAATGATCACAGATTACCAATAACATCCCTTAGTTTATGATATTGAGTCACATTCAGAAAACAGAAGTCATACAAACAATATGTTAATCCATGATGAGGATATGTTAGAAATGAATAAAATATACCAAATGCAGATTCAATGACATGCTGAAATACAGGCACTATTGAGAGAATCATTCACAATTTTATTAACAAAATGAATAATATCCAGTACAATATCCACTCAAGGAAAACAACAAGAATGCACAGGGAAGAACAATACGCGAATATTTTCAATTGGGAAGAAGAAAAGCACAGAAAGGCATCCATACACTTGCTAGATCAGGAGAATCATCCAGAAAATTTACATGGGTACTACCAGTTCTCTTTGTCAATTTTTAACTTCTCAAGAATGAATTTCCCTTCCTTGTACTTCTGAATTTCTTCATAAGCCCGTTCATATTTCCATCCCAACACCTCACGGCAATCACAGCAGTAGATATCAGCCACCGTGTGAAGACCAGTCATCAATTGTCTATCCTCCTTAGGACCTACCATTATGTTCCTTGCATGGGAGAACAAAAACGCTCGACCATTTCTCCCCTGAAGTTCACATTGTAAATGAACCTTTGGTATGCTTATAAGAAAAGTAGAAAATGAAATGAAGTTTGACTTAGTTGAACCTAATGCAACAGATAGCTCTAACTTCGAAATGACAGAAAATACATTTTGAGCAAACATTTAAAGGGTAAATGTTTTCATAAGAAAATTTCTAGTTTTCCATTTTATTTTTCCTGAGAGCCTCTGAAAAAGATCGTCTTTTTAATCTATTAATGGAATCAGTAACAATAAATCCAGCAAAATTAGTATCGAGTTCCCCACCTGAAAAGACTTGGTTATAACATCATCGTGAAGAGCAACTTGGTTTCTGCAATTGCAGCAACTGTACAACCTTCGTCCAACCATTTCCGCCATTTGGCAATTATTTATAAAACTCAACTCTTTGCTACTCCAAAAAAAAAAAAAAGAAAGAACTTCTCTTAAACCATAAGAAAAGAAACAAAACAGATTCATCAATGTTCAAGCCAAAAACAATGAATATCACAACAAAGATAGCAAAATCAATCAAAAGCTTACCTTGCATATACCAACGAACTATACAATAAACACTGCCAATCAACCTTTGTTTGCCAAAATAAGTGCACCCACAGCCAAAATAGAGTACTTGAAATGTGAATTAAGAAATGTTAAAAGAAAGCGTAAGTCAGTGAGGATTTAAGATACCGAATAATAATCTAAGATAAGATATAACAGACAAGGAAAATAATTTAAAAAGACAGCACCGGTGCCATAAATTCACTGTTAATAATGGATAAAAGTAGATACCCGATTGAACAATAAGAAAAGATCAGGTTCAAGAAACAAGTTAAAAGCTTAAACCCAGTAATTAAAAACTAGCTTTTGATACAAAAGAAAGAAGTATAAAAGCCAATAATCAAAACTAGTCAAGCTCACAAAAGAAAAACCCAGATATTCAAGAACAAGAGATGATGTTCAGAAAATAAATACGACAATGTTAAACCCTGTAGAGCTAAAGAAGAGACTACCATGAAAATATCAACATTAAACAGAATAAAGAAAACCCAGTTATCAGAAGAAAGCTAAAGAAAATCCCAATATTTTAAGACAGTGAATGATGTAATGCAATGATCAATCGAGGAGATCAGTGAAAGAACAAGAAAAGGGATGAAGAGAAAGGAGTGGCACGTGTTGATTCCTTTTTTCTCCTTTGGTGTCGATAATTCAGTTCTCACTCCTCAGAGAGAGCGAGAGAGAGGAAGGGGGAGTCTAGGCTTCCCTTCTTTCTTTGTTTCTGAACTGCGAAGTGTTGTGTCGGACTTCGGTGGGTTTTTCACTTTTTCTGATTAGGGGATGAAAATTACATGAGAGTGCTGCAATTTGCATCCCATTTTTTTTTTTATATATTTTAAAATTTAAATTTATAATAAAATTATTTAAATATTTATTAGATAATTATTTTTTATTTTTTATATTTCATTTCAAAATTTTATTTTTGAAAGTTTTTGAAATAGATGTTAGAAAATTTTTAAAAATTGTCAAAAAAATAAAATTTCAAATATCAATTTTCAAAGGTCTTAAATTTTCTAAAGTTTTTTAAAATCATCAAACATTTATTTTTAAAAATTTATTTTATAAAATTTTAAATCGTATCCAAATATTTTAACATAAAATTTTATGAAATTTATTATCAAATCAAATGAAAAAGTAAAAGGAACAAATGATTTGTGTTTGATTTTATATATTTTAATTTTAAATAAATAAAATTTTCTTTGAATTTAGTTTGATCAGACTTAAAATCCGTTAAATTTTTAGTTGAGAAGAGAAAAGAAATGGAATGTGAGGAAATGGGATTTTTAATAAATTTGTATTTTAAATTTAAGATGTGATGAATAAAAAATTGAATATTAATAACAATGGGATGTAAGAGAGAAAATTAGGGAGGAAATAACAATACTCATTACATGGGAGGTTTTAGTTCATCAGCTGACATGAAAATCGCTGGCAAATTACCGATCTGCCATTGCCATTTTCTTTTCAATTTCCATGTCCACTAAACTCTACCACGTTAAACATCAAAGTTATTAAACTATTGGCAAAAGGAAATGTCTCAAACTAAAATTTTGTAGAAAAATGTAAAGTTTGGGATTTTGCTAATTGTTATTGTTTTCATATAAATATATATGCCTTAGGTCTATTCTAACTTTAGTTTGAGACTTAATAACCTTGTTTTGTAGAAATAAAAAAAAGTAATCACTCGATTCGTTATTGATATCGTTACACTCAAAATTACAAACAATAAAAAAAATTACTTGATTAATTATTCATATTATTGATCTAATTTTATGAAGGCTAAACCTTTCTTCACTTGCTAATTGCTATTCTATAAAGAGTCACTAATAAATTATTAATTTAATCGGTTAAAATTATTTTTTTCAATGAAAAAATATTAAGTTTGAATTTTATAGTGATTATTTGTTATAATCATTTCGAATATATTATTTGTAATTATTTATTTTAATTTATTAAATATGATATATCTTATTTTAATTTAAAAAATTAAATAAAATTATTTATCTGTGAATTTTTTTTATCAAAAAAAAATTCTATGAAGGGCCAACATTAAATCGTTTCATTCTTCTATTTTCCATTGGCCTTTTCTTTTTTTTTTTTTTTTGGGGGGGGGGGGGGGGGGGAGGGGGGAGGGGTGGGGGACCGAATCAAAGGCTCAAGTACAGTCGAAACCGGAAGGTGTTAGAATTGGGCTTCGGCTTTGCTTAATTGATTCTTCTTTCCCCTCGTAACCCTCTCCATGTGATGAGATACTGTCGATGGCCCGACTGATCATCATAAAAAGGTGGGCTCCATAACGATTCATTTTTTCTTTTCCCCATTTCGACCACATCATTTTGGTTTTGAGTACATTTTCATCATTTTCCCCATTTCGTCACATGTATATTAATGTGGCTCCAACTTTCCGAAGCAAAATAATCAAAGGGGTCCTTCCGGACAATGTTAAAATCTTTCTTTTCTTGGGGTGTCCTTGTAAGTTGGTCCACAAAGGCTCAAACAAAGTTCTTTTTTATTGGTAGATTTAGCCAGATACACACTAAAATTTCAATAAAAAGGAGGGTTAATCTCCATACTCAATAATAAGTACATTTTCCTGCTAAATTACGAGTATGTTCACGTGGATAAAAATTTAGATAAATTTTTTAAAGTGAGATTTGTGAATTTAAAAAAAATTAATAAAAATTTTCATAAAAAATTTAAATTGATAAATTAATAAAATTTAATATAAAATCAATAATATATATAAATTAAATATATTATTTATAATTTAAATTTGATTGATACTTATTCAATGATAAAAATTTTATTAATATTTTTATAAAAAATGTCTTACCTAAAAAATATATTAAAATTTATTAAATTTAAAAAAAAAATTTACACACTTAATCTATATAACAAAACTTTTTAATCTATAATTTTTTTTACTTTTACTTTTATTTTTTATTTAATCATTTTTAATTATAATCTTTACCAAAAAATTTTCATATAAATCATTCACATCATGCTATTGTGTTTATTAGATAGATCATGAAACCCATCAAATAAGAATATAAATAAATAAAGTGCTCCACTAATAATTAATAAATAAGTTTCATTTTTATTTGTTTATATTTATTTATTAATGATAATGAACTCTAACAAAAAATTTATTATTAATATTTTAAAATTTATTAATTAAACAAATAAATTGACATATAACAAAATTAATTAATAATTCAATTCATTTACATTTACATTGCATCACCAAATTATTTGTATTATAAAACTAAAAAAAGGCTTGGCTTGGCTAGCCAAGTCTTGAGCCGCAAACAAGGAACATATGGTTGATGAGTTGCAACGTGGCTAAAAGACAAGATTGTTGAATGTGCAGGAATCAGCTACTCTTAAGACAAGGAATATTTATCTCTGTTTAGTTACAGAAAAAATAATAACAAATGTAGAAGTGAGAAAGAGAAACAACATAGAATATTCATGCTAGTCTTTGTTATTTGTCATTGGTTTACTTGGAGAAGTTCTGTACCTTTCTTTGTTTGGTGAAGATCCTACTTTGGAGTAAATTTCTGGAACTGGAGGCTTGATCCCGCAAAATATTTTGTTTCTCTGCTGGGTCAGTTGAAAAGGAAGTTACATCATTTAATAACGACAACCATTATTTTAATAGAAATTTTAATTTTGAAAACTGCAAAAATATTCATTACCAAAATGATTTTATAATTCCATTCAACGAAACAAGCTTTCTATATTTGTTCTCTCAAACTACCTGCAGAAATGAATAAAGCAAAAACGTGTATCACGGCCAGCTGGACCAGCAGCTGCAAAGACTGATCACCAAAACATTTTTAGTAATGTCAGCCAAAAGTTTCAATTCAACCCCAGAATTTTTACATCTAATCCAGTATTCCCAATTGTAGTCAGGCCAGTAGAGACTCCAAGATTCCTTTTAGACTCTCTGACCTCATTTTCTGCTCTAACATGCTATAGTTAATAAGAATCCATTTGTTTTTCCGTTTTGCTCAAGTCATCTAGGTTCTAGGAAAAGGACTCAGCCATGGAAGAATCCAAAGATGAGATAAGAGCTCCTCTCAGTGAGTCCCTCTCTCTTTTTTCAACCTGTAAAACCCAACAAAAGTAGATGCAACTTTTGTTCATGTTTCTGAAACATTTTCTTTTTGAGTAACTGTTTTTGTGCAGTACCTAAAGATGAGAAGGATGAAGATGTTAGTAATCCATCCTCCTCCTCATCATCGTCACAGGCCATGGCCTCAAAATCTCAAGCAGAGGTCAGAGATGTGCAAGAAGAAGAGGATCAGAACTCACCCGTCAGACAAGTGGCCTTAACTGTACCAACTACAGATGACCCTTCTCTACCAGTCCTCACATTTCGAATGTGGGTCTTAGGCACCATTTCATGTGTCCTCTTATCATTTCTTAACCAGTTCTTCTGGTACCGTACGGAACCCTTAACGATCACGGCCATCTCTGCCCAGATTGCTGTGGTTCCTCTTGGTCAATTGATGGCTTCAAAAATCACAGACCGCGTTTTCTTCAAAGGAACTAGCTCGGAATTCACCTTGAATCCAGGGCCCTTCAATGTGAAAGAACATGTTCTTATTACAATATTTGCCAACTCTGGAGCTGGCAGCGTTTACGCCATTCATGTTGTGACGGCTGTTAAGGTTTTTTATAAGCAGCACATTACTTGCTTCGTCTCCTTGATTGTTGTTATAACGACTCAGGTCAGTTCTTATTTGGTTAATTCTTTCTAATTTTTCCTTAATATTGTCAGTGTTAAAGGTTGCTCTTTTTTGTTTGGTATGTGTTGGGTGGTTCGGTTTAAATGGTTTGGTGGGTTTCAATGGTAGGTGCTGGGGTTCGGATGGGCTGGTATATTCAGGAGGTACCTAGTGGAACCAGCAGCTATGTGGTGGCCTGCAAATCTTGTTCAAGTTTCTCTCTTCAGGTTAGTAATCTGATTATGGGTGATTTTATATGATAATTCAATGTTCTCATCTTGTTTGCGGTGTCGATTGTTGGCCTGGATATTCCTGGATTCCAGTGAACTTAGGTGTCCAGTGGCGAATCTGAGACCGGCTGGTATCTAGACACATACTAACTCTTTTTTTTCTAAGAGTTCCTATTCTATCTGTTGGCCGTTGCGTAACAACACAATGATAATTGGAATCCCTTCCTGATTGGACCTAATGGGCCATAGTTGCAACTTGCAGTAATAGATTAGTAGTACTGATAAAGTAACATGACATTTTGATAAGGACAGGCCTCATTAGAATATATCAACAAATAACAAGGCTCTGTCAAGGCCTCAAGGAGCCTAAGCTGGGACTTTGGGTAGTGCTAGTCGTGAATTTTGACTACATATTTTCTCGCAATTTTCTGCATTTGCCTAACTGCGTTGGCTTAATTCGGATTTGATTTTCTGACCCTAATGGCCATGCTATGCTCAGCTTGAGAGTATTCCTCTAGGAAACCTCTGCTGGCCTAACTGCTGGAACTCTTTTGAAGAACAGTCAACCCCAAAATTCTTTTTCGCCTTCGGTGGATATCAAAACGTTTCTGATGTCAGATCCTAGTCACTACCGGCAACAAGGCTGAGAACTATAGGGCCTATCAAATAGAAAAGAGAAAAAAAAAGCTAAAATATTAAAAAAGTTCCTTTTTTTTTCAAAATTCTCAAATAAGTTTTTTTTATTAAATTAAATTGAGTGCTTAAAATGTTTTTTTTTTTGTTTAATTAAAATCTTATTTTGTATGAACACTACTAAAATTGGTTAGAAAAATAAGGTTTAAGTGAATCAGAATAGTACTTTTTTAAAGGGGAAAAATAAAAGCTTTATTAGACAAAAATAATGTTTTAGCCAATAGAAAATGAAATTAGCGTACAAGAAAATCGTGGGCCCATTATTGGGCCTTCCGGCTGGAAGAATGTAGGTCCTCCACAGATTTTTGGTTGGGCTAGGAACATACGAAGCTTAACTGTACATTTATGTTGGCAGGGCTCTGCACGAGAAGGAAGAGAGAGCCATGGGTGGGGTGACCAGAACCCAATTCTTCCTGATTGCATTCATTAGCAGTTTTGCTTACTACGTCTTCCCAGGCTACCTCTTTCAAATGTTAACTTCCCTCTCTTGGATTTGCTGGACATTTCCGCAATCGGTTCTAGCCCAACAACTTGGTTCAGGTCTTCATGGGCTAGGAATAGGTGCTATTGGGTTGGATTGGTCCACCATCTCCTCTTATCTTGGTAGCCCACTCGCAAGCCCATGGTTTGCCACAGCAAATGTTGCTGTAGGATTTATCTTTATCATGTATGTTTTGATTCCCACCACCTACTGGCTTAATGTGTACCAGGCCAAAACCTTTCCCATATTCTCCAATGCTCTCTTCACGTCTACAGGTCAAGAATACAATATCACAGCTATCATTGATTCTAAGTTTCACCTTGACATCGCGGCTTATGAAAATGAAGGACCTTTATACCTTAGCACATTTTTTGCAATGACTTACGGTGTTGGTTTCGCTACACTAACTGCTACAATTGTTCATGTTGCGCTCTTCCATGGAAGGTAATTTCATATAATCTAAATTTTCCTTCAATTAGTCTTGAATTTGTCTTAAATGGCATGTTGAAGTTCACGTTAACTGTAAACTGCAGAGAAATATGGGAGCAAAGTAAAGCTAGTTTCCAGGAGAAAAAGATTGACATACACACCAGACTCATGAGGAAGTATAGGCAAGTACCTGAGTGGTGGTTTGTGTGCATCCTTCTGGTAAACGCTGCTGCCACCATATTTGCCTGCGAGTATTACAATGACCAACTTCAGCTTCCATGGTGGGGAGTTCTACTAGCATGTGGCATTGCCATTGTTTTCACACTTCCAATTGGAATCATTACAGCCATTACAAACCAGGTATCTTTTATCATAAGCTGCTGTACTCGCAACATATTAAGTTGTTTATAGAGTGTATATGTTATATACTCCAACCTTAATTATCTTCACATAAATCAGTTTAAACAGCTTTACTTTCCTAATTAATTTCTGATTACAGACACCAGGGTTGAACGTCATCACCGAATATATAATTGGGTATATATATCCAGGATATCCAGTCGCTAATATGTGCTTCAAAGTGTATGGATACACAAGTATGACACAGGCTGTTACCTTCCTGCAAGACTTCAAACTTGGTCACTATATGAAAATTCCGCCTAGAACAATGTTCATGGCACAGGTCTGTTTACATCACCAAAAAGAACACTTGTGCAGAATGTTTGTTCACACAAAATTAACACTTCCTTCCTCTTGTCTTAGATCGTGGGCACTCTCATTGCTTGCTTTGTGTACCTGGGAACTGCCTGGTGGCTGATGGAGACCATCCCTGATATTTGTGACACAACAGCCTCCAACAGCGTCTGGACTTGTCCAAGTGATACTGTGTTTTACGATGCATCAGTTATCTGGGGTTTAGTAGCACCTCGCAGAATTTTTGGAGACTTGGGAACTTATGAGGCTGTCAATTGGTTCTTCCTATCCGGAGCCATTGCTCCACTTCTTGTATGGTTGGCCTCCAAGACCTTCCCTCGTCAAGAATGGATCAAGCTCATTAACATGCCAGTCCTGTTAGGTGCAACAAGTAATATGCCACCAGCTACTGCAGTCAACTACACTACCTGGATCATTGTTGGCTTCCTCTCTGGCTTCGTTGTATATAGGTATAGACCGGATTTATGGCAACGATACAATTATGTGCTTTCCGGCTCACTGGATGCTGGCCTTGCTTTTATGGGTGTGCTGATATATTTATTCTTGGGATTAGAAAATATCAGTCTAGATTGGTGGGGAAATGATCTAGATGGATGCCCTCTGGCTAGCTGTCCAACGGCCAAAGGTATTGAGGTTGAAGGCTGCCCAGTGTTCACCTAAGGGTCCTACAGTTTATTGCTCTGTAAATCTTGAAGATGTGTAACTTGGTTAGTCGGAAGTGCAGATGAAAGCATCTGTACGCCTATTGCATTTAGAAGGGATTGGATTTTTAGTTTGTCTTAGACATGAAATTGAAATAAGATTTCAGCATATTGCTGTAGGCTCGGTGTCCAATATGACTCTTGTGATAATAGGTTTGGAGTCTAGACATCATTCACCACAATCCCAAAAACAGCAACTAAAATGCAACCAGTTGCAAATTGTAATATTATTTTCATTTATTCTTACGATTCTGGTTTTCAATTTTCATGGCCACGTTAGTTGTGTACTCTTTATGTTCATAGACCCAGCCAGTGCGGTACTAAGAGATATCTGGTAAAAACAAAAAAAAAAAAATTTACAAATTAATTGATTGGAGATGTTTCTTTTTTGTGTTTTATCTTTTTTTTTTTTTTTTTTTTTTGAAAATTGGAAACAAAGCTATGTTGATAGGTTGTTTTTACTTAAAAAACCAAAAATTAAAAATAAAATTTGAGAAATTGTTGGAAGTGAAAAAATTGATGTTTCCAATGTTTTGAAATATCAAATTTAATGCCAAAAAATGAAAATAACCATCAAAAACATTCAAGACATCGATTTGAAAGCAGTTAACCGGTATACTATTGTCCAACATCCTTTAATCCCCAACTTAGCTGCACATAAACTGATAAACCCCAGCAAAACTCAAAACGCAGAGCCATGGAGACCCACACAGGCGGCGAAGGCACAATAGCAACCATCAAAACCATTCGGTCCCAACTCGAGACCCGGATCCAAACCCAACATGCAACTCACCTAGACCTACTTGCCTCCCTCCAAAGACTGGACCCTGATATCATCCCAACCCTGGATCTCTCCCTCCGGTTTGTCTCGGCCTTCAACCACCGCCCTTTCTCTCCCACTCCTCCGCTTCCCACACCCAAAAAGATCTCCCACCTACCCCAACATCCGTCAACTCACCCTGTACCTGACCCAAAACAACTTGCCCTCGTTAAACCTGAACAAGGTGACAAACCCGTTGACGAGAGCGGCAACCCTTTGTTGGTGGTGAGAGCGATGGTGGCGGAGTGTTTACTTCAGAGAGTACCGTTCAAAGCGATCGATTCGTCGACGGTTTTGAGGAAGTTAGAGAACGACGAGAATGTGACTGCGACAGAGAAGGCTGCGATGCGTGAACTGGGAGGCGATTCGGGGGCCATTCTCGCGGTGGAGATTGCTTTGAGGTCAATGGCGGAGGATAACGGCGGCCTCGAGATCGAAGAGTTTGTAGTCGGCGGCAAAAGCAGAGTCATGGTGCTTGGCATTGACCGAACTCGGTTAGTTCGAGAATTACCCGAAGAACCTCAAAATCAAATAAAAAGGGAACGGATAAACAACGTGAACGCCAGTGATAGCTTGAAATTTAATAGTAATAGTAATAATGAGTGGGTGGCGCCGAGGCCCACGAGTGAAATTTGGATGGGAGGGGGAGACCCTGGCATGATGTATCCACCGGGTGGGGCAATGGCGGGCCCTCGGGGTCGGGGAATGGGGATGATGGGAAGACCGCCGATGGGGCCAAACAGTGGTCTTTTACCGGCGCAGAGACAGAGAACTGAGGAAGATGATTTGAAGGATTTGGAGGCTTTGTTGAGTAAGAAATCGTTTAAGGAAATGCAGAAATCGAAGACGGGCGAGGAGATTTTGAACATCATTAACCGCCCAACGGCTAGGGAAACTGCTGTGGCTGCTAAGGTATATCTAAAAACCCCCACCCCAGTGTATAATATCATCTTCCTTTTCTTAATGTCTTTTTTTTTTTTTTTTGGTTCTTGATTTGGTTGATGATTCTGTTCAATGATTTGGTATAGTTTAAAAGTAAAGGTGGTTCTCAAGTAAGGGAGTATTGTTCAGCTTTAACTAAGGAGGACTGTCGAAGGCAGTCTGGCACTTTTCTTCCATGTAAGAAGGTACAGTAACAATTTAAATGTCCTATTTTTGTTGGAATGGAAGAGCATGCATATGGTTGCCACTTTGCTTATCAGGGATAAACTAAATCATACACTTCGATTCCATTGACAATTTAGTGATGTCCAGCAAAATATGCGAACATGTTTATATTTTAGAGTAAACTGTATCTCTTTCTAAAAAAAAATGAAGAGTTTCTCAATATTTAAATAAAAATTACCAAAAACCTCTCTGGTTTACCTCTTAGTAGTGATGAAAAATTGAAAATTTAGTGCTATCATTCTATCTTTTGGTATATCCAGTAGGCTGAAGGGTTGCATCGTTGAGCTTTAACGTATAGTGTCTTTATCAGATTCATGGAAATGGTTGTCATAGTATATAGTTATGTCTTATGTGGTGCTACTGCTGCTATCATTGGTTTTGAACTTCCCCCAATCCTCTGCCTTTTACCTATTTGCATTCTTGTTTTACTATTTTTGATAACTCTTTTCAGGTTCATTTTAAGCGCATAATTGCTCCTCATACTGACATCAGTTTAGGGGATTGTTCATTTCTAGATACGTGCCGACATATGAAGGTAATTTTTTATACTTCTTGCAACAATTCTTACAAGCTTTCTTTCTAATGTCATCTTATTACAACTACTACTTGAGAGTAATGCCAATCTAACTTGTTTGATAGACATGCAAATATGTCCATTATGAGCTTGACCAAACACTAGATGATCTTGGTCCTGAGAAACCTTTAAAGCCTCTGCGTGCTGAATATTGTTCAGAAGTGGAACTAGGTGAACCACAATGGATTAATTGTGATATCCGGAATTTTAGAATGGACATTTTGGGGCAGTTTGGTGTCATCATGGCAGATCCACCGTGGGATATTCATATGGAGTTGCCTTATGGAACAATGGCCGATGATGAGATGCGCAATCTTAATGTTCCTGCATTGCAGACTGATGGTCTGATCTTCCTTTGGGTCACCGGACGGGCAATGGAGCTAGGACGTGAATGGTAAGTACTTTACTTCACCCATTACTTAATGTTAATATTTAATTTGTAGTTTGTTTTTTTGATGAGAAAAGCCTTGAATTTTTTTATTCATATATCTAAAAGCAATCACGCTACTTGCAGTTTGGAACTTTGGGGTTACAAGCGGTGTGAGGAGATTATTTGGGTGAAAACAAATCAACTTCAGCGAATAATTAGAACAGGGAGAACAGGTCATTGGTTAAACCATAGTAAGGAACATTGCCTTGTAGGAATCAAGGGAAATCCAGAAATAAACAAGAATATTGATACTGATGTCATTGTTGCCGAGGTTCGAGAGACTAGCCGTAAGCCAGATGAGGTCTGTAGAACGTATATTCCATACCCTAGATAGTTTGACCATATGTACCATTTTTTGTTTAACACTTACTGGATGCCAGAATGTTAGCTTAAAGATGCTGATGACCATGCCTACAGATTTTTGGAATTTCACTTTGTTGCTTTTTACATGATCCTTTCATTACATAAATGGGCTGAGCTTTATTGCTGTTGTAATGCTTTATGTACTTGCAATGTCCCTTTTGTGTAGTTCAAGAACTTACCTTAATGGAAACGTAAACCTGCAGATGTACCCTATGCTGGAGAGGATAAGTCCAAGGACAAGGAAGCTGGAATTATTTGCTCGCATGCATAATACTCATGCTGGGTATGCTATCATGACTTATTTTTCTTGTTTCAAAATTATTCAAATATATTGTCATCAATCAGACTCAGAGGGTGCCAACAGTGCATGTTTTGAGGATAAACAGAAGGACCCAGTAGGTCTCAAGGCTTAAATAAATTTGACATTTTGTTCATTTCAGTACCTAATGATTAATTCCCCCTGATAAATAACTAGCTCATATTCTACTATATTGTAACTAGCCGGTTTAGTGTTTTACAGCCCAGTAAGCCCTTTTCTTTATTTGTTGGTATCCAAAAGTTTTCACTTCTAACCAGTCTCCTTCCACTCTTATTTTCCCGCAGATGGATATCACTAGGTAATCAGTTGAGTGGAGTTCGACTGGTTGATGAAGGCCTACGAGCAAGGTACAAGGCTGCTTATCCACAGGTAGATGTCCAGCCTCCCTCTCCTCCCAAAGCTTCTGCTATGGAAATAGACTCTGCTTCTGCTAGAAGCCCCTTTTCAACAGAGTCGGGAGCACAGTTTGCTGATACGGCTGCACCAGATGCAGGCCATGCTCCTGAAGAAAGGGCAATGGCTGTAGATGCTGATATGGCCAGCTGAAAAGCCATTAAATCCTGGCCTTAAATGGCTAATAATGAGATACTACAAGGTTTGTACCGTTATTTAATAGTGCCTGTGAGGGACTCTTATCCCTTTAGCTAATTTTGCCACAGATTCATTTGTAATGATTTTCTATCTAGCATCAAATTGTTAGGCCCTTTTACTGTTTCTCATCCCCTCGTAATGATTGATTTCTCTCTTCACTTTGCATCTATATTGCCGGGCTATACTGATAAAATTAGGATTAAACTTTTTTCCTTGTATATTTCGATTTATCTGAGTTGACGTACAAGTTTAGAATTTGTGAACATGACCCATTGAACCGAAGAGACAAGGGGCTGTCGGTGTAGTATTGGCAAGAATCATAACCAGCTGGCAATTAAAACATAAAATAATGGAACTGGGAGGCTATGTCGATATTACAACTCACAAACCATAATTTCGGGCGGTGATCTCTCAGACCTATTCGGTTGAACATTGAAGACTAGAAGATTTTTTAACCGCTAAAGTGGGTTCTGCCTACTTTCTTTTTCCTAGAAAACAGCAAAAGAAGAGTTCTGATATCTTCTTTTCAAGCTCATAGATTCTTTCCTGTCTATGAATGAATACACGTAAAGGTTAAACACTAAAACACAGAGAGCTATTATACAAGACTCTGCAACTCCCCCATTTCACTATTCATTCTCTTTGAAGTTTGATCACCTATAAGAATCACAAATCCGAGGAATTATAATATGAACCAATAAACAAGACTCTAAAACCAGCATTTGAATGAAAAATAAATAAATAAATGTCAAACGGAAAAATATACAAAAATATTTTCCAGTTGGGTTAGAAAATTTGACACAAGTAACCATGGCCTTCACATCATGCCATTGATTATTGCCCATGTGGCTGATGCAATAACAGCTGTAATGAAGAGTGGGATTCCTAGGGAGGGCGAAGAAGAAGGCGGTTGAGGGATTGTGCCGAAAACAGTGGGGTAAGACGGTGAAGATGCGGTTTCAGGCAATGCACTCGGACCATAAGAAGGAGAATATGCAGAGCCATTCCCTGAAAGCACAGCAATGTATAGCTTCTGTTTCTTTTCACAGTGACCAGGTTCCCCACTGGTGAAGAAATACTCCCCAGGTTTAGTGATGTTAAAGAGAGAGTTGCCATTGTTCGTGTACAGGATTGGATCTTTGAGGTTACAAGAGTTGTAGGATTGTTCTGTGACTTGAATAACTGAATCTTGACTTGGTGGGTATAAGAACACTGCAAAGTGAAAAATAAGCAGTAAGAAATGAGAATCAGAAGAGGAAACTAAAAATGGAAAGAGAGGTAACGGAACAGAAACTTACAGAGAGAGTCTCCAATCTTGAAGGAGTGGTACTTGGACCATTTAGCGTATACCTGCGGGTTTGCTGATGTGGGAATACCCCAAGCATCTAAATCTCCAACCTTGTACTGATAGCATAGGACTTTGGTTTGCACTAACAAAAAAAACTTAATAGCCCAGAAGAAATGATGACTAAGACTTCCAAGATTGGCCATTTTTGCCTCTTCTCTCACACTTTTTAACTTCTCTTTCTCAAATTTAGGAGTGAGTCGGTGAGGACACGAACTCAAGGACGATGGAGAATTGAAATCTTATTGGCCTCAGCGTCTAAAAAGAGATCGGTGGAGCCAAAAGAACGTGTTGCAGAGTAATTTACCTGAATACCCTCCCTCGTGAGAGGTTTAAAATTCAAGAGTTTGAAGTTTCTTTTAAATGGTCCATACTCCATAGAACAAAACTGTCCAGACATCAGAAAATGGATGGTTGAATTGATAAAAAAACTTGATGAATTAGAGATCTTGTAGGAAATCATCTTTAGCTGTATGTTACTTATCAGTGAGGACTGAAAATGTATCATATTCAAGGATGATTATTATGGTAGAGCCATTTTTGCTCCTTGCAAAAATAAGCTGTCCTCAAAAAACTTGTATAGAAAAGGAAATAAAGCATTTGGAGGGTAGAATTGGGAAGGAAATCAATCATATGACTAATAATGTATTACTGTCACATGGCCAAGTTGGATCATTCCCAGCTGTGTTCAAATGGGGAATGTAAGGTTGGAACTTGGACGATGGTGGAACAAGCGAAGTGGGGATGTTTCATCAAAATGACAGTAATACATCATGTGCATTGGACATAAGAAAACACTTCTTTATAATGTATCATGTGCATTGGACATAAGAAAACAGTGGGGAGTGATGATTTGTCTCCTATCTCACATGGTTAGTCAACTATAATTTCTTTAATTAATTAAATAAATGTTTAAAATTTATAGGAGCAAGAGATACAAATCACTTCAATCTTCAATCCCTTAGGTTGCGTTTGATACACAAAATTGTGATAGGATAGAATACAAAAATATTATGAATATTATTATATTATATAATATGATCTTATTTTATATTTGACGTGTGTAAAGATTAAGATAGAATAATTTATTTATCAAAATTATCATTTTTTAAAGTTTATACAATTTAAATTAGTAATATAATTTTTAAAGATATAATAGGACATATAAATTCAATCCCATGAATTAAAAATAATCATTTCCACTTTCAAATAATTAAATTATCTTATACCAAAAAGATAATGATCCTCCTTATAATCCTATCACTTTCAATTAAATATAAACCAAATATAATATAATACGAGTATTATCATATCCTATCCATTGTCTTATGTACCAAACATGATCTGAATTTCTTTGTACATACTTTCATAAGTTACATCGTACCTTTATTTTTTGGCCAAGATCAAGTTTAGTAGAAAATTTCTTATCAGCTCCATAAATTACATATTCAGTGCAAATTGGATCAGCAGTTTCTTGCTTATTCTGTATCCTTTATTTACATATTTTTATCATCTAAAAGGATAGGAAATTTTGCCCTTTTCTCTTCTGGTTTTTCTTTTATGTAAGCACACTAAATGCAGCCAGATTGGGCTGAGTGCCATGTAAGTTATCAGTTATCACTCAAATTGAAAGCCCTGACTCTACCTACCTTAGCACCAAATGGGATTTATTAGCTAGTTGTCGAAATCAAAACACAATTTACAGGTGAAATTCAGAGCTGAAGTGATGTATGAGATAGATGATAAATTTAAAATTTTTATGGAACGCATTTTCTATTCAACTGTGGTAGAACCAGCTTTGTCTACTGGTATAGATACCATATGAAGGCATAGTATAACCCCCATTCTGTTTTTCCAATCTCTAGCCACTGTTTTCCGGAGGCGTCAAACAAGTTACTGAAAGTCATATTTTGGCCCATCGTCCCGTATTCAAACCTTCTCTAGTTTTACATCATTAATCAAAAGAAGATTTGTCATGGAACAATAACATAAATGACCTGTTTTTGCATGCTTATGATAACAAAATGTGGTGAAAAAATGAAAGCTCACGAAGAACAATATCAAGGAACTGTGACATGTATTACAGTATTTTTATAGTCAATAATTAGCATGTAAAAAATAAATATGTCCATACTTTTTGCAATAGTGAGTGATATTAACTGAAGAAAACATGAACTGGAAATCATATTTCTGTCATTCTTTTAACAAAAAACAGTACTTAAAGCCCTCACAAGCAGCCTTAGATTTCATACCTTCTAAGCAAATAGGACTAGGCCCAAACTTCATACCGTCTTTCAGAATGCAAACAGCTTAAACAAAATGCAGCCCCAACAGTTATACCAAGAAAATTCATCTGCTGCAAGCTCTAAAACAGTTTAGTGTTTAGAAGTTTATTCCCTCTGAAATCAATTAACCATTTAATGGATCGGCCTCGGAATCCATCTCTTTCATTGCCGTCCAATTTTGTGATCCTGTAGTAAAATAAGTAAAATTCATGTTTAGAGTATGCTGCAAAGTAACATATATACACCAAGAAAAATATTTGAAGCTTATAATAAGTAGGATTTATTACAAAAGTAAAATTGCTTTTTACTCTATGAATCACAAAGATGAAGCATATAGAAGAATGACAAGGCAAATACAGAACTTACTTGACTTGTGGATCTCTGCAATCACCATAAGACGCCTCTGCAACATAGATGCCACAAAGAGGAAAATCGAGCACATGCCAAACATGACGGTCATGGGAAGTGCTTTTACCTTTCAAAGAACAATATAACAACATTAAAAACAAAAGAACCTGTTAATGACAAGCAACTTAATTAATATCATTTGGTGGTACTCATGTCTGATCACAGAATGTTTGCCTACTACAAACTATTTACTGTTAGGTTTCTTGTAAAAATGGGGATCTAAGGGAGTGTTTCACTTTTGACAAGTAGTTAAACCATGTTCTGAAATAACTTTTTCTGACTGCACTAACATTGACAAAACAAAATGAGAATACCCAGAAAAGAAAATGCAAAGTAAAGAAACAACAAAAAGGTAGAATGATAGACTGACATTGTATAATGCAATGCACACAAAGATGTTGAGAGGAATGCGAAAGAAGTTCATGATAGTGCTTCTAGCCTCCTCCGGAATGTATTGAGACCTCATTTTCATAATAGATGGCCAGAATATCCCAACGCAGGCTTCAAATGTGCAGAAACCAATGAGTTGGATACACCCAGAAAACGAGATGCTTCCAACTTTCACAGCTGACGGTGCTACCAAGAACTGTTGAGAGTTGCAGTTAATTTATAATAACTGGCAGTTTTTCCATGAAGCTTTTTGAGAGGATGGAGAAAATATGGTGGGGGAAGAGAAGAGAAGAGAAAGGAAATGGAAACAAGAAATAGCAAATGCACAAGGTACGTACATTTGTGACAACAGGAAGCAGCAGGGATGCTGAAGAGATCATGAATACAATCTGCATATAGCTCTCAACTTTTGGGCTTGGGTGAGCCAGCAGTCGCGAGGCAATGGAGCTTCCCAGCATTGAAGATAACATGAAGGTCGCAAAAATAAAACCGTGTGGAATATCCTCGTCATTTGGGCTCAAAGCAGGGGTCCAGAGGAACACAAAGGTGTACATTGAACCTTCAAATAGGGATTGTATAGCACCCAGCAAAGTAATTTTCTCATCTGATGGCATATGAATCTCGATTTAGTAGACTTCCAATCATGTTATAGAAATAAAAAAAGGATGAGCCAAAAAGGGAAGTAAATACCCAAAGAAAACGCGGGTAACATATTTCTTAATATTTTTATGTTCTTTCTACTTAAATCAAGAAAGCATAGTTGGTAGCCTAGACATTAAAGGTAAGCGAAGCATAGAATTTTCAGCAAATTGATCACTAGATTTCCCTGAATGCAGAAAAATATCTAGCTAATTATCCACACCCCCCCCCCCCCCAACAAAAAAAAAAAGCAAAGAAAAATATCTTGGTAGGATGTAGAAAAGAGAATTAGGATGCACCAGAAGCAATGGCAGCAGCAGCACCCCTGAATTGCGTAAGCAAGTCCTTGCTTTCCGAAGGGTCACCATAATTTTCAGTCCATGACAACAATATAATTATCATGCCAATTGCAAGGAAACAAGATGCAGCATCAAATGGAGCAACAGGTCCTAATTGCAAATTATCCACCAGTACATTACCAAACAACCCAGATAAAATTGCCATCAAGCCATTTCCAAGAAATATTGCCTTTGAGAATGTTATAGAAAGCCACTGTTGATCAAAGCCTCGCTGCCAAATCCCAAATTGGTAATAAGATTCAGAATTAAGGCCTTCACAAAAACAAATTCTAGTAGCAAAGTAAAAATCCATTGCACAATTAAACATTGAGTAGTTTGCTGAGGAGTCAGGCCAACAGCTTTAAGGAATTTGTGACTTATGGCACATACCTTATTGTGTTCTGCAATAAGCCAAGACTCGAATGCTGAAAAGAGAAGAGAAGTTGCAACGCCTCCCAACACTCGTCCCAGCATTAAAACCTTGTACTGAGGAGAATGTTTGGTAATGCAGCTCAGTATGTAAGTTATGCAGTAAGTAACACATGCCCTCTTTCGACCCCTAAATTCAGCATGCAATAATATTCGGGAATCAACAAGGACAGAAAATTATGAGAAGTGTGAAACAACATAAGATCTTACTTTTTGTCAGCTAATGATCCAACAATTGTACCAAACAACATGGAAGATCCAAAACCAGCTATAAAGAGTTGGCCAATCTCCCCCTTCCCAAATCCGTATTGACTGTAGAGGTAGTAAACATATGGCCCCTGCAGCCAATCCCCAGCTGTTTTGTTTTTCATGATGAACATAACCAGTTTCAGCATAACATGACATTTAAAGGAAATGCAAAACCCTGAATTTGGCTACAGTAAACAGTAAGATAAAAAAAAAAAAAAAGACAAATAAAACAGGAAAAACTAGGAACAAAGCATCAGTGATTAACGTTAGATTCTAATGTGTTGAATGAAACTATGGATTAACGGTAAAACTGAATCAACCTCTAAGCATCGATGTCGTCAGCCAAAACAGAAAAAGATAAGAAAATTCCAGATCAAAACTAGATAGGGAAATGAACTTTATTATAAACAGACGACAAAAAAATGTAAAATTTTCATGTAAATTGGTACAATGATATACCCATCATCAAAGAGTATACGACAAGATAGTTGTTTTTGAAAGAACTGAAAGCGGAGGAGGTGTTAATACGATCTTTGCTGGTTTTGCTTAGCTCCAACGCTGCAACGAGGGATGCCAGGGCCCCGAATACCATCAAGTAAAATGCTTCCATTGTCTCTGTTCTTTTTTTTTTTTTTCCTGCAGAGGAGGATCTGAACAGAAACAGAGGAGAAACAGAGAAAAGTGAAAGAAACGTATAAAAAAATTGTACAAACTACCAAAAAAAAAAGGTGGCTTTAAAAGGGAGTTGGCATCAATAGAGGAATTGACATTTTCTTTGTGGAGTTTGGTGGGTGTGTGTCCCCTGTTCGCATTCGTAAATCTTAAGGCAGAGGCTGATCCCCTTGTTTCGTGATTTTCCCGGGGAATTTGCAATTTTTTTTCATAAATTTTTTTATTGCAACTATCAATTACCAAAAATGAAACGTAAGCATAAATCAAACTAAGAGTTGGAAGTTAATCATCATTCTATTAAATGTCAATATCACCCTTAAAATTGTCATTCACAATTTCACAAATTTTCCGTGTATATATATGCAAGTTGAAGACTTGAATGTGGTGGAATTTAAGTAAAGTTGGTAACTCTTGAGACTGTCCAAATATAGAATGTTCTTTTATTTTTGGAATTAGATTAAAACATAATCTTAAAACTTGACCAACTAGGAAAACCAAAGTTGAACAAGATTAAATTGAATTTGCATTGATTAATACAATTCAAGAATTTGAACTTTGTATGATTAAAATTTAATCTAAACGTATAGTTCTTCCTTTGTTCATTTACCTATCTATGTTTGATTTTTTATTAAACAGAGTTCAACTTTAATCATTAATTTTATTTTCAAAATTTTTTTAATTTCATGATTTTATTAAACATATTGATAAAAAAAAATCAACAGTGAATGTTTCAATGGAATGGGAAAAAATGTTTTTAAGTATACATTCATAGTTTAAAATAAAATTAAAAAAAAAGTACTAGTAGGTGTGTTCGCATGTAAAAATCAAGGCCAGCAAGGCCTGAGATTTCTGCCAGAGTAGTGAAGAAGCTGAGGAGGAAGATGCCGAGAGGCTGTCACCGTTTTTGAGACGAGCTTTGAGGGTTTTGGATGGTGGGGGTAATGAGACCATGGTTGAGGCTTGGAAACAGACGAAAATTGGTTTTAGAAAGAATGAAAAATGGCTAAACTTAGTCTGATACCCTGATATAGTGATGTCTTTTGTTTTACGCTGGTTTTAAGTGATGATAGAGTTTGCATGCCATCCATTTGTGATAGCTGAAGCGAAGAACAGTGGCCCAGCTACCGGCAACAATGCAAGGAATCTCACAAATCAACATTGTCCAATGTCCATTTACAAAAAAGAGCAAGCTTAACATTTGACATTCAAGAGTGACATTAAGGTCGTACTATTAGCAAGGTAGATCATGCTAAACTGAAATCAAACTTGATTTCATTGTCGTCTAGAACTACATTTACCAAAATCGCAACCAAAGAGACACCAAAAAAGGAAAGCAAAGTAATATTTCATCTAGTTTATTCACTCCAGTACTTCTCATCGGCATCTTTATCTCCTTCCCCTTCATCGTCAGAATCCGGCTTCAGACTAATCTTAAACTTTCTAACATCCTCCAACGCCGCATTTTTGAACAACCCAACATCAACGGCACCAGAAACCATCCGATACCCTCGCTTCCCGAGCTCCTCCGGCGGATCATGCGGCATTGCAAAACCAGCCAAGAAGGCTCCACCGTCTCTTGGGTCCAACTTAAGCGCTCCTTTTTCCGCCGTCCTTAACATCTCCCTAACCTTCTTGTGACCCGGATCCCACAAGTAACCCAAGCTAGCGCTTAAATCCAACGGACCCATTTGAACACAGTCAACCCCTTCAACAGCGGCGATCTCTTCTACTTTTTTGACACCATCCACCGTCTCAACCTGGCACATTATTAACAGATCCTCCATGTAGTTACTTAGATAGCCTTCGTTGATTCCGTAGTTGGAAGCTCTCACAACCGGGTGAGCAGTGCCACGGATTCCCTCCGGAGGGAAACGGCAATACGACACCGCTTTTTTAGCGTCTTTTGGGGAATCAATCATGGGGAACATGATCCCTTGTGGACCGAGGTCAAGGGCCTTTTTTGCCCAAGCTGCGGAGGATTCAGGGAGGCGGATGATGGCCGGGGTGTTGGTCGGGGAGAGAGCGCGGAGCATCTGGAGGGACTCGTGGATTCCTCCAGGGCCGTGTTCCATGTCGATGACTACAAAGTCGTAGCCAGAGAATGCGGCGATCTCGGCCAAAGTGGGGGAGAACGAGAGGAAGAAAATGCCATAGAGGGTTTCGCCGTTGCGGAGTCGGGATTTGAGAGAGGATGGGGAGGGAAAAGCCGAAGGATTAGGGGAGCATTCGCGAGGGGAGAGGGTGGAGAATTTGGTGGGATTTAAGGGTTTGAGCAAGGAAATGGAAGGCTTGAAAGAAGGAAAGGAAAGGGATTTGGAGGAAATGAAAGGAAGGGGCTTTCTAAGAGAAATTTTGGGGGAGGCGGCAGCGGCGATTGAGTAAGTGAGGGCGGCCATTGGCTGTGGTGGGGGATTTGTGTTTAACGAAGAATATTAGGGATCTGGAGAAAGTATAGATACCTGTTCAACCTTTAGAAAAAAAAAATCTTAAGTCGTAGTATGAGTGGGTTGGTGAGAAACGTACGAGAGACTGACGAGGGATGTTTTTACTGTGACTGCCACTTCTCCTTGAAATGGTACTCGCTTGCAAATATTGCAAGATTTGACACCCATCTAGTTGAGTTCAACGCAATAAACCCTATTAAAATAGGAAATTTGGCAAGATTTGAAGCATAATTACCCCAAACCACATAATCAAGCTGCAGCAACTCTCAACTACATGGCCAAGCTAGAGTTTTTTCCCACTAAAATATATTTTAAAATCTTTATTCTCTCAATGAAGTAGTTTTAAATTTATTTCTTTAAATAAGATACATTAGCTCTATGTCACATTTAACTATCTTATAAAATTGTCTTTCAACTTATTGTCATGCAACAATTGTTCACTTTAAGACATGAAAAAAAACATTTTATTAAAAATATTATCGGATTTTCATTGTAAAATAAAAAAAAATAATTGATAACAAATTATAGAAGATCGAGATAAAAGCAAACAAAAAAGAACAAACCAAAAATAAAAAAAGAATGGTCTAAAAATCATGAAAAAAGGAGAAGAAAGGAAGAAGAGTTTGATCTAACCCTTATTATTGATCCGGCTTTTGTTGGGGGTGGGTCACAAAGAAAGAGAGAGATAAAGGAAGACTAGAGAAAGAAAAGGTTAAGCCGTGAATGAAGGTGGTCCATCGAATGATTGGTGGCTACATTGGGCTAATGTAGCGAGGCAATGGAATAAATTGAGTGACGAATTACCATCGCCATGCACCCTTTAGTTTGCAATTTAATGAAGTTGACTACCCACTTGCTCTTTCTTTCTTTTTGGCAGTTTATTTCTTAGACTTCGTAACTAAGTTTTTAATTTCCAATTCGTAAGTTTATAAAATTTCCATCACAAAATCGAATTCTATGGATTTATCATGTTTTAAGGGGATATTTTAAGGTTTTATTCGAAATATTTGAAAGAATGCGAAAATTGAATATACTATCGGAATCTGTTATTTAGTTTTAAATATGATTTATTAGATAATTTTGTTTAATTTACTTTTGTTTTTGTTGTTTGGTTGATATTCGAATAAGTTTAGAGGTTTTTAATAAAGATTTCATTGAATGTTCATAAGATATTTCTCAAGCAATGCCGACTAAAAATATCTTTTGTGTTTTTCATTAAAATTTTTCTTTGCTACTTTTTACTTTTTTGATAGGATGCTTTTTTTATTTAGGCTTTATGTAAATTTTGAATATTTCTTTTGCTACTTAATAACTTTTGATTTTTTTTTTTTGTATTCAACCCTGGTGTAATTATACAATTATTCAGCTATTCTCGATTCTATAATTGTTATCTAATTATTTTTAAAAATATGATTGTTATCTGATTATTTTTAAGAATGTCTAACTATTGATTTAGCCTTTTGTTTTATTTTGTCTTGTTTCATTTTTTGTTGAAATCACTCAAGGAATTCTTGATTTTCTCATGTAATTGTGTATTTTCTCATGGAAGTCTAATAATACCTTGCCCTGATATTTATTCTGTTAACTCTGTTCTACTCGTTATTGTACGGTTCCTTTATTACTTCTATAATTCACTAAACTGACTTTTGAAAACAAAGAATTAGGTTAGGTTTCTTGATTAACTTCCTCATCCTACTTCAATTATTAGTTTTATGGCTGGAGCTACTGTTACAATTGCCATCCAATAGCTTAAGGCTTTTTTTGGCATAAAAACACTTACAAAAGAAACTAAATATTATTTTTGTAATGCATTATATATGAAGCAATGCCCTTAAAATAAGCAACTTTCCATTTTTGCTTTTCCCAAAAAAAAAAAAAAGCATTTTGATTCTCTCCTTTTGGGAGGAGTCCCAACCTACATTCCGAAGAATTTTCGGCCAATATCAATGTTACCACCCACTACATTTTAGTTACTAAATTTATATAATACTGCTTTGCAGTGGAATTGGCTAACTATCATAATTGGAGTTAGCTTATCCTTTCTTATGTTTGTTAGGTACATTGTAAGAGCCTCAAAGTCTTAATTCTATTTATGGACTATAACAAGCATATGAGTATTTGCTAAATTTTACATGCTTTTGAGAAATAGGGAAAAAAGAACAACAAACAACAAGTTTTTTTGGGTACTTGCGATAGCTCCATTGATATCTATTGTTCTTTGCACCTTTTTCATTTGTATAACACATGCAGAAAAGAAAGGAGTTCAAATTGTAAATTTTTTTTTACTTTTACTAATTTTTAGTGTAATTTTGCAATTTAATAGCTCAAAGTAATGGCAAAAATTGTAGTAATTTTGGTTATGAGTAATGATAGTGATATTGTTGTGTGCTTTTATCTGTGCAGATGAAAAACATTGAGAAAGAAATCATGCTCTCATATGCTAATCAAATTTATTTAGTGGTGAATATCTTTTTTAAGGTTTGAGGATTGGTAAGCTTTTTTTTTTTTTTTATTTGTCTTCACTAACCAAAAAATTTAATCATGACATTACATCTAACTAGACCTTTCATGTTTCCATTTCTTTCTTCGTTGGTAGGTCAATTTAATAGAAAGTTATGATCAATGTGAGAACTTTTGCTTCAATGAACGACTATCAATTAAATCGAAACAAAGAAATGGTGGCACTATGAGCAATGAATGTTGTTGGTTGAATGACTTTTTGCTATGTGTATATAGGTGAGAAGTGAGAACATCATTAATCTGTTGTATGATTTAATTTTATTTGGATGAACTTATTGTTAATTGTTATATATTCAGTTGTCTTATGTATATATATGGTAAATGCTTTTAACTAAGTTCCAAGTTTATCAAAACATGGATTTTTAAAGTATACGAATTCATTGATTAAGAAACTCTTTTACTAGAAATCAAATAGATTGAGTCTAAGGTTTTTCTTCTGTAATTTTCAAATTTAATTATAAGATTTGAGCTATTTACTATTTACAATGATCTTTTTCAAAGTTTAACAAGTTAATATTTATCAAATTTGATAAATCCGTTATTAATCAAACACTTTAGATCTTAGTATTTTTATAAAAGAACGAAAAACTCTCCTCCTGCATCGTAAAGTCGGGTGAATTCTAGTATTTTAATAAAATGGACTCCACGTTAGCATCTCCTTTCTTCAATCTTGCTGCTTCTGGTTCTGGTTCTTCCCTGCAAGGTTGCTATTGCTTGTATATTTTTTTTTCAAAATCTTTGTTTTTTTTAAATTATTCTCACAGTATCAGAGTCTCATCAAATAATAATAGATAAATTAGTTATAGTTCCAAATATATGGCTAGTTTAGATTTACAAAGATTTGCACCCTAAATAGTTTCTCAAACGAAGTACAAGAATATTACTTATAACTTAGATGGTCATCAACTAAATCGTCTATTGACTCATCTTTCAAGTCTTTCCATGCCATTGAATCATCGAAAGTCAATGGCATTGATTGAAAGGAAGTCTCTATCTCTGGGATAGCCTCGTTCAACTGTTTAATAAGATCATCTTTCCCAGTTGGGATGTTCAAATCCCCGACAATAAAGATATCAACAGTTGATGAATTCGTCTTAGCTACAGATAAACTTAATTCAAGTCCTAAATCATTAGCTCCACCTGTACTCTCATCCTTGTTGTATATAGGCAGGAAATGATCTCCCCGAAATGTTCAATGGAATTATCCTGAAAAATTGCAATAGAATACCAATCCTCTATTTGAGAATACCATTGATGTTTGTTTCAGGGTCTTCATTAATTAGAATGACAACAAGATCATCATTGGTTCTTCCTCTTCCTAAGTAATTGACAACCTCTGCCTCTTCAACTGGAGGAACTATCTTAATTGAAATTACTTAGAAAATTGTAAACCCCAATTTGCCGAATAGGAAAAGTGGAGCACTTTTATATTCTGACTTGAGAGGACGCAGAAGAAGACTTGAATGAAGTTTTAAAATATTCTAATTAAGGAAGTAAGATTATAAAATGCCTTAGAGATAAAACTCAGCCAAGCTAATCTTAATAAGTGCATGGTCCGAGAATGAAATTAGAAAAAATTGTAACAGTAAATCATTCTTGTTGGCCATCCATTTTAAAATTCCAAGAATCTGCACTGTTTTAATACGTAAAGAAACAGAAGCATGAGCAACCGTTAAAATTTTTTTTTTTTTTCTTTTGGTGGTAAAGGGTGGGTTTGAATGGTTGTTAAAGGATGTAAAAAAGTACTGAATATACCGCTTATATGATAAACTCCAATCTCATGGCATTCAATCCAATGCAACATAAACCATATTTCTCAAGGTCCATGGACTCAAAAGTCAAAACGTTCTCACTGTGATAAAAGCAAGAAAAGAAAAAGTCTTTACATTTTATATCCTTAATTTTTAACTTGTTTCTACAGATCAACTAAAAATGATTTGATAACATGAATCAGACAGCACTAAATAAAGCCACACAAATTTGGTAACTAATTCAGATCCTGTTATAGAATGACATAATATAACATGTCGAGTGAAACACACACAAGTAAAATCAATCTCCCAAGATTATATCTTCAGAGCAGTTCTTGCCATGGCTAGAGCACCCTCATAAGTTTGATTTCCACCAATGAACCCGCTCATATGGACAAAGACACAGCCGGGAATTCCTGCCTCCTTTGAGAGTTCATCATCCCTCAGACCTCGCCACTGAGCCGGTAGGGGCTTCCGGCTCTCAAATCTATCAGGAGATACTGCTACTGCCTGAACTCGCCATTGTTGGCCCCTCTCATCCTGCACAATACATTGTCATAACAACAAGGAGAATCTATCTCAAATTCTGGAAAGAGCAACACTGACAGCAACGAGCATGATCAAGAAACGACAGTGAACAACATAAGCTACCGGAGCAGAATACATAACCCTTTATCTGTCACTAGTGTTTAATCTAGACCTACACATTGTAGAACATATTTGATGGGATGATAAGTCTAAATACATACCTCATAAAGAACATATTTAATAGAAGGCTCAACCTTCATCTCCTCCTCAAGCTCAAATATATGAAGCTTCCACTGCTGGATGCAAAATGAAATCAGACTTAGTTACAAATAAATAATGTACAGTGGTAAGTCAAGAATAAAAAACAGTCACTTGTCAGCTGTCACTTATAGATTCATCTCACATCCTACAGGAACATGCAGTCCAATTCAAGGACCAAAATAACTAGATTTATGTACAAGCAATTTGCTAATCCAAGATAGGCCACTTTCCTCTCAAGAAGAGATGCATAAATAGACAAAAAAAAAAATGAAGTACCTAGAATATACACTTGTGGAGGAATAGTGGATGAAGAAAATTACAAAAAGAAGAAACAAAAACTAGAAACATCTACTTACAGGGCAAAACCTTTTCAAAACCATGATTTCACCACTAGGGTCTATATCATATCTCTCTGCAATGCACTCCATCACAATTGACCTTGCTGGTAACCATGATTTTGCATGAAACCGAACACTCTGAAAATTGAAGGTCATCAAACTATTTAAATATGAAGAACACAACACATATCTTTATCCATTCTGAAGAGAAGCAAAAATCTCATATCCAGGACTTTAGAAGTGTCGACCAATTTGAAAAAATGTAAACTTAGACATGTTTTTAATTTTGACAGAACCTTACATCTAAGAACTCACTGCCAGCTAGAGCCATTGCTTGTTGGAAAGCTTCATTCTCCTTCTCAGGTGATTGATTAGGATCTGTCCAGTCTAAATTTAATCTTCCAACTCTAGAGGATAAGTGTGTATTGTTCACATATCTTGGAGGTTTGTCTGTATCAAACTGGTTGATTCCATTGTCAATCGCATCAATTGCCTGGTAAAAGCAAAAAAAAAAAAAAACTCCCAAATGAAAATCTAAAACCATAATCACTTAACTGAAATAATATCCCAAATAAACATCTAAACCCTTAATCACTTAGCTGATGCAGAGGAAAATGAAACTCAAGGAAAGAGCAGAAAGCCTATGGTGTTAAACTTAATCCTATAACCACAAAGCCATACCAGCCAGAACAAAAAAAAGCTAGAGAATTACATTGCTAATAAAACAAAGAAAGCAGAAAATTTAGTCGGTAAAAACTCATTTGAACCAGTTTCAGAAGGTTAAAGCTCTTGATGGTAATATTTGTTCAACCATAGGATCCTAATCTATTTCCACTCAAGGAAGCCAGAACTTATGGAATTCAAACCCTTTAAAACTTAAGAATCAAAGATGTAACTACCTCCATGAAGCTTTTGTAAATGGCCAGAAATAATCTATGCACATCCGGGTGGTCTTCACCAAGACAAAGCTCTTTAGCTATTATCTCCTTGCCAAAATGCTAAATACAGAGTAAATTAGACTTATAATCAAGAAACAGCATAAACTGCCAAAAAACATCATTGTTCAGATTATACTCTACCAAATTGTACGAGAGTCGCAATACATAGAAACCAAAAAGAAGAGACCTACCGGAAGGAATCTTTAATTGTCTCATGTAACTAATGAATACCTTATAAACAAGTCCGGCACTGCTAAGCTTTGTATTAAATCCATGTCCAAAAACCTCCTCAAATCCTTTTTGGTGATGATCATACCGGTCATGACTGGGATCATACACGCCTCCCACATCAAGCACAGCATCAAGCCCCTCCAATACCTGCAAATTCAGATAACCTTATAATGAAACTTCAAAGAGGAAGCATAAAAAACCAAACGAGAACAAAATAAACCACAAGAATCCCATAATAAGCCACCCAATTCTACATTGCTATGAAAGTCAAAATTGACTCTGCATTTCAAGTTTTGTAATTTATAGGCGCAACTTGTATAAAATTAGCAAACAAGTAAACGAGAAAACTAACTTTATGGAAAGGCAAAATAAGCACATATTTCAGACCCCAAAAGAAAACCCATTTTACAAGTTCCACTTCTTCTTAATCGAACGGGAAAAAAAATAACCTTGGGGTCTCGTGTACGGACAATCTCGGAGTTGGAAAACTTGTCAGTAAGGCGAATCATGAAGCAACCAAGGGCCTCGTCGCAATGGAAGCTGCCGTTGTGAGTGCCAACGCGCTTAGAAGGAGCGTGGTTGGGAGAACCAGTCGAGTAAGCAGGGGAAGAAACCCTGATGAGGTTGGAGGCAGCCATGAGAGGGCTCGAGAGGGTTTTGGGCAAGTTGAAAAGCTTCTGATTGAACCCTCCTCTTGTAATTGCCCACATGCCTTTAACAATACTATTCATCCCCGCCCCACCCCCAGTCAAAACCCTTTACTTTATACGCTAAACAGAACGGCAGGGTGTTATATTTTCTTTTCTATTAGGGATAATATTCCATTTCCCCATGACCTATTACATTTTTTTAATGTATTATTTAAATAAAAAAATTTTATTCAAACACTTAAATTACAATTGCATGTGTTAATTTATCCTTATCATTATCAAGATATAAATATTTAATAAAATATTAATATGTATAAAAAATAAATTTTAATAAAATATTAATATATGTAAAAAAAAATTCAATCATTTATACGTGACGTTAATATTAAAAAATTTCAAAAAAATTTAAAACAATTTTAAATTTTTTAAATTATAAAAATTCAAAAATATTTTAAAAATTCAAAAAATTTGAAGAACACCAAACCAAAAAATGAACAAGCCCAGAAACAACTGAAGATCACTGCCAGAATCTGGTGCTAGTTCACCCACCGTCTGCCTTCTTCTTCCTCCTCCCTTTTGTTCTTCTCTCTATCCGAAGAACAAAACTCTCTCCTTCAATCCTAAATTAAAATCTAGTTATAACCCAGAGAATGAAGAGCCCAGATTGCCACCAGAATCCGGCACCGTTCACCGTTCACTATCTTCATCAGAAACCTAACTTCATATGGTTCCTAATTCTATCTTCAAAACCTGAGAACTCCAAAAAATACCCAAACAGAAATTCACAACCTCAAACGAAATATTAAGCTGTCGATTGCTTCTTGTTACTCTAAGCTGTGAATTACTAAACTTATTGCTATAAGTGCTCTTTTGTAAGCTCGATTGTTGTTGTTTGCATTTGGTGCAGGATTCCGGTGATTATTTCTGGGTTGAGTGTGTTAGTTGGGTACAAAGTTGGGCTTTCTGGCTATGGGTTTTTGGGTTTCTCATTAGGTAATAGCTTTTCGGTTTTCTGGGATGGATTCTTGTTTCTGACTTGTTTTTTATTTTCACAATTGTTTGCTGTGTTTGTGCTGTTTGTTGAGACTGTGGGTTTTGCTGACTACTCTGTTTTTGCTTCTATGGCCGAGAATTCCTTGCTTTGCTTCTTCCTTGATTGCTTGATTTACTTCTGTGTTTGCCGAATTCCTCTGTTCTGTTTGATTTTCTCTTTTTTGGTTGGTTCTTGTTTGGCTGCTTTTGGAGTTGGTGTAGCTTGAACTCTGGCTTTGATTCGTTGATGTCTTTGCTGCTAATTCCCCTAGTTTGCACTGCTGAAATTGCTGTGAGGAATTGTTCACTGCCTCTGTTGCTTCTTGTTGAATTGTTTGAATGCTTCTTGATTCTGTGTGTTGTGTATGCTTGTTCTCTTCGTGATTGCAGGTTAAAAGTTCTGCCTTTCTTTTTTTTTTTTTGTCTAAAAACTAAAATTAAATCCAAAAGTTAAATTAAATTAAAGTTAAAATTCAAATCAAATTAAATTTTTTTTTGAAATTTTTAATTTTTTATAATTTTTAAAAAACTTTTAGAATTTTTTTAATTTTTAAAAATTTTTACAGTTTCTTAAAATTTTTTAAAAATTTTTAGAATTTTTTTATATTTAAAAAATTTTAATACAGATGTAGTATTAATCATGTAAAATTGATTGAATTTTTTTAATACGTATCGATATTTTGTTAAATATTTATATCATGATAATGTTTAAGGTTAATGATATTGATAATTGAAATAAATTAATACATAAAAATATAATTTAAATGTTTGATTAGAATTTTTTTTATTTAAATACCACGTTAAAAATAAATAAATAGTTTAGAGCCGAACGGAACATTATCCTTTTCTATTATATTTTCTAATTTCCATTATAAAATTTGGATAAAAGATAAATATCCTAGCCACCCTGGGCTTGAGGCCTATAGGCCATTTCAATTCTAGCAGGTTAGAGGGAAGGATAACTCGGTTACATAGAACAAAAGTCCTGCAATCTCCGCTTCAATGCTCTCTGCAATCACTTCCACTTTGCTTCTCTCTTCAAAACCTCGATTCCTCTCCAAACAAAGCTTTTGCGTTGCCCCTTCAACATGCCCAAAAAGCTTCCTCAGCCCCACTTCTCCGCCTCTGAAGCCTCTTCTCTTGAAATGCAGCAATAACTCGGAGGAGAAAGAAAGAAGCAACGATTTGAAGGATGCCCTTTCTGGTATTGTTGGCAAGCAGGTTGAGGAGCTCTTGAACAGAGAAGAGAATAAAGATTTGCTTGATGGCTTGGAGAAGGCCTCACAGAGAGTAGAGAGGGCTAAGAGAGAACTTGCGGAAATTGAAAGACAAGAACTTGAAGCTCAATTATTGAGAAATTACATTAACCAACTAGAATCCAGGGCGTCTGAGGTCAGTTTCTTCTCTGATTCTGCTTTTTTAAAACCTTTTAATTTTGTTAGATTAGTTGAAATGATTTTATTGCATATATTTTGAAACTGAGGCAGTTTTGGTATACCAACTAGAATCCAGGGCGTCTGAGATCAGTTTCTTCTCTGATTCTGCTTTTTTAAAACCTTTTAATTTTGTTAGATTAGTTGAAATGGTTTTATTGCATATATTTTGAAACTGAGGCAGTTTCATATATAAATAAATAATATATATATATATATATATATATATATATTAAGATTGGAATTGTTATTGCATAGTATATATTCTATACTGAAAAACGGTAGGACTTAAAATCAGAACCAAAATTTTGTGTTGTTCTCTTAAAATTGTAACTTTGTCAATGTGGGTTTGTTTTGATTATCTATGAAAGTAAATATGCATCTTGGATCATTGATGGGCCTCTTTAATATAAAATGGGAATTTGACTTGAATCTCAAATTATCTGTCAAAATTATTGCATGTGCCTACAAATAACCAATATGATGCTACTGTTCTTAAATGGGTGGTTAGCATCTTTTACTTTCTTTCTGAATTTAGTTGTCATGTTCTGTTTATTTCTAGTTTTTTCAATCTGTAATTGCAAAAGCCTGGTGGAACATATAGTAAAGAAAAATAGATGGATAGAAGAAACGGTATACTCTCAGGCTTAGCCCCTTTGTTTGGGGATGATTGCTATCCAAAGGGTTTATGTTTTCCCAAATTTGATCTTTCATCTTCATGATGAATGGGAGAATGTCCCAGATTATGTATTGAAAATTGTAATTGATCTTTTTTTAAACCAACCATCTTATTCTGGGAACACTGTTCATATGTTATCTGTTAACTCACTGAGGTATTTCCATGAGAATATGACTATTGATGCATAAATTTTGTGAAAATTCAAGATTGCAGAGTGTCAGCAGGAGATCTCACAAGCACGAGCCATGGTTGAAGAAGCAGAACAATCTCTTTCACTTAATGAAGATAATGTTGTAGATGGAGACGCTTTCAGCAGTGAAGATGGTGAAGGAATTGCTATTGATAAAGAGAGATTAGAGTCCATAAAAGCAGCTTTGATATCTGCACTTGTTGGCACCCTTGCTGGGCTCCCCATCTCCTTCACGCAAGTTTCCGGTAGTACTCAGCTTCTGCTCCCTTTGTCAGTCACTTTTATCAGCTGTGCATTGTTTGGGGTAACCTTTCGCTATGCAGTTAGGAGAGACTTGGACAATTTTCAGTTAAAGACGGGCACATCTGCAGCTTTTGGTTTTGTTAAAGGTATAATTACAATCAAGTGCCAGTAGATAAAACTCTCTATGCATTCCCATATAGTCGGTTGAATAGAATATATGGGACATTAATCATTTCAGAAGCTTAGCAAAAGGGAAATGTTAGCAATAAAACACATCATCCAAATTGATATGCAACATTATGATGACAAATGCAGGTCTTGGTACATTGGGTGGAGGTCCACCTCTGGAACTGGACCCTGAGAGCTTCTTGTCGCATGCTGTTGATGGTGCAGTCTATGTATCCCAGAATCTTATCATTTTTTTATTTGCTGCAATTGGCCTGGATTTTTGCATTAAAATGAGGCTTCTAAGTCCTTTTCCCATTAAAAGATCAGCTCCAAAGACGAATACAAGGTGATCAGAAGCCTTAAAATGGATTTAGAATCTGTATACGTTGTGCATTTTTTCTGCAATCTGTATCATACTTGGATCACATTTTTGTTTCCTTGTAAACATGATTAGCTGGTATCTGTAACATAACATTAGATTTTACTGGTGAAGAACAAGATATTCTATGTAAACAAGAGTCGAGATCCTGTCTTGCATATTAGGGTTTGATGCAATTTTAGTTCATTTATATTGGACAAATTGCAACCAGAATACACATTTAAAGATCATTATCTTTTCTCTTCTTCGTCTTCCCTTTTTTTTTTTTTGGTGATAGGCTTAAAGATCATTATTAGATAGACTTTTATTAAACTGCTTACCATAGTCCATAGTGGGTGTTGGAGCGTTTAGAAAACCTGATCGATAGTTATGTAATTGGGCTTAAAATTTTGCCACTCAGTTTCCTTTCCTCAGGTGAAAGCACATTGCATCTTGCACATAAACAAGCAGGTAGTAGAGGAATTATTAACATAGAGGAGAAAAAGGGGATGAGCTTAGATATGGATTGGTAGGCTTACATAGAGTGATTGTACCTTGTAGAGACTGAAAATCAACTACCTGAATCAAGTATCAAGAGGCAGAACTTAAGTAAAACTCCTCAGTCCTTATGCCTTTATGTATTAGTTTTAAGATTTTCCAATAAAAATAGGTGATAATTTTTTTTTTTTTGAGAAAAAATAGGTGATAAATTTAATTCATTAACTTGGCAAAGTTGTCATATCTTACTCAAAACTTTACCTTATTATTATTATTATAATATATATATATATATTTTTTGGAGAATACCATAGCAACTCTAATCTTGGTTTAGCTGTGAAAATATTTTCCTCTGAGACCAGCAGATACATGGAAGGAAACAGTTCACAGATTTCGGGATTTCTCACCTTGGATTCTCTTGCACCATCAGGCCATTGGATTGCGTGTGAGAGAGTGCCTTCACTGGTGGAGTTAATTCGGCCGCCGCTTTGTACCATGTGATCCATACACCAAAATCGGAAATTTAAGATTCTCTTTCGATTATAACACTGTGGGCTTTGATGAATGTCCAGGAGGTTTTCAATGGGCGTTTATGCTTTATGCCAACTATTAAAGAATCCGATAGCGGGTTTGTCAACTCGTAGACTACGAACAGAGGCAAATGGTGCTTGAAGCACGATGTTCCTTTGAATGAACTTAAGTCAGAAGTAACGCAACTTGTTGAATATGCAAAGCACTCCAAATGCACTGAATTTCATACATTATAAGCTCCTTTATATTTCTGAATAATGATTCCAAGTCAAGCAAAAAATATTACAAGCCCTTTTATATTTCTGAATTCTCGAATATATTTTTCACTAAATATCATGAGTTCAGATGCACGGACTCAAACAGCAAGGTTTACAGAGGCTTAGTTATCCAACTCAAAGTATGTAATCAAGATCAAAATTTCATGTGCTCCATCGCAAGTTGATCCTATAACCATCTTGATTGTATTCAACTCATGCTGATGAACAAGTGCTATACCCATTGTGCTCGTTAATACCACTAGCTGTTTTACTTGAAGTAGCTAAAGCTTTCTCCAAGTCCAACTGTGACAATGGTCTTGGCGCCTGTAACTACACATCAAAAACACAAGGCAGTTTAGAAAGATGCATTAGTACATTGCCATTGCATTCAGTAATATCTCTCACACATTCCAAGAAACAGAACGTGGAAGAGCATACAGGCAAGCTTCTAAAGGAGAAACATTCTCAATATGTATAAAGAGTAAAACAAGTGAAATATATGCACTCACTTGATGTATCTTCCCAGCCCTCTCTTCGTTTAAGAGATCCCTGAGAGGAATATATGCTGCTTGTTTGCAGAGCTCAAGCAAATCTGAACCAGTGTAATCTTCACAAAGTCTAGCTATGTGGCCAAAATCAATAGTGTCCTCCACTCTCTCGTTCTTCAATATCACCTTCAATATCTTTTTTCTATCATTACAGTCAGGTCTTCCAATTTCAAAAACCTGAGAAAAACGCCTAAGTATTGCTTCATCGAGCTGTGCTGGGCGATTAGTTGCACCAAGTACCATAACTCGAGCATTCTCTGAATGCAAAATTAGAAGAAAAATTAACTTATATACAAAAGTTAACATGCCCAATATTGGCAAAAAGTACCATTTATTTTTAACTATAGCACTACATGCCCATCTTTTGTTAAAACTGAACCACTTTTAACACAACAAACAAAAGAAACATCACTATCCAACAGTTCCAAAACAAATATTCAAACTTCACCAAACAAACCACTCTGTCAGCAGTACATACTTTTCCAACAACTAAGAAATGTTCGTAAGAAATTGACTTAGAAGTCGTAATAAACCCTAAACCTCAGGGCATGTAGCCAAGGATAAAAATTTTGAATTTAAAACCCATTCTGCTAATGTGTATGATTCTAATAGTACAATGTCTATTAGGTGTTCCCCACAAATGATCAAGTAAAATAAAATTTTGAGGGTGCAAATGTGTTTGATGCTGACAATGTAAGTCAGTAAATGGCATTTAACTTGTACACTCACAGATCAACAATTAGTTTACAGACGAGGTAACAACTAAGAACACTCACGATCAGTGGTAAAACCATCCCACAAGGCCATGAACTCGGTTTTCATAATAGCCATCGCCTCATGGTCCGTGGCTCGTCGACGGCCCAGAAAACTGTCCACTTCATCAATGAATATAATAGCCGGCTGCAGCTTATAAGCCAAACTAAAGATAGCAGTCACTGCAACAATATAACATAATACTATTAATAATATTAGAAACCTTAAAATGTATAACAAGAAAATGATTTTGAAAGAAATCCCCTTTTGTTTACCTAGTTTCTGGGCGTCACCAAACCATTTACTCATTAAATTAGAAATTCTAACATTGATAAAGACAGCCCCAGATTCTTTTGCAATGGCTTTGGCAAGCATGGTTTTTCCTGTTCCTGGTGGTCCGTACAAAAGCACCCCTTTTTGGGGACCCAAAAGTTTGCCATAAGCAAAGAGCTCGGGCCTTATAAGAGGAAGAATAACCAACTCGTACAATGCTTCTTTGATCCTATCAAACCCGCCAACAGACTCGAATTCAACGTCTATGTGGTTCGGGTTCACAACATCACCCACTATCACATCCTGCATTTTAGAAAAAAAAAAAAAAAAGAACAAAACAAAATTTCATTTTGACAATGCAAATGGGTTTTGCCAAAAAATACAAATATAGAAAAAAAGCAAAAAAAATTTTGAAGTACCTCGTAGGGGTCAGTGTGGATGAGGGGGCGGCCGAGGCGTTTGGAGATGGCTTTTTTTCTTTCAATGGATTTCTTGGAGGATTCACGGTTTGGGTCTAGTTGTTTGAGGCCGGCGAATAGGACCAGGCAACTGAAAGCGGCGCTGGCCGAATAGAAGATTAGTTCATGAAAGAAGGTTTTCTCGGCGCGAGGGCCCTGGGCCATGGTTGTCTTGTGCCCCCCTCTGCAGCTGGAAACGTTGGAAGTAGGAATTGAAAGTGCGGGGAGGGAAGGGGCTTTTGATGTTATTGGTTCATGAATAATTAAAAAATTTTACATCACTTCAGAATTTGAGTAAAATGTCATATATATATATATATATATATATATATATACACACAAATTTAATAAATACTTTTTAGTATATTTTTATTGACTCCAAATATGATGTACTCATTAATAACTTTATATCAAAATCAAAGTTCAAATTGAATTAAGCTCATAGTCGAAAATTCAATTTGAACATAGCGAGTATGATAATATGTGGAAACGAAACACACCTAAGAAGCGATGTATTGAGGTAATCCAAGATTAAGGCTGTGATTGATTACAAGCTTGAAGGAGTATTGAGAAAACTTAAACCTACAAAGAGACAAGGTTGAATACTGGACCTAAGATGCACTAAGACCATCTAAGACGTGAGATTGTCTGGCTCAAAGGAAATATTAATAAAACTTACTCACACAGAAAAGTCAATGTGGGATTTGAGTTTAGTGCCCTAGGTTCGACTTGATTGCAAGTTTGAGAGAGTATTGAGATAATCTAAACGACAAGGTTATGGGCTGTGATTAAGTACTCAGAGTTAAAGGTTCGATTTGGACACAACGAGAATGATAATATACGAACGCAAAACACATCTAAGAAGCAATGTACTAATGTAATGTAAGATTAAGGGTATGATTGATTATAAGCTTGAGGGAACATTAAGATAACTTAGACCTACAGAGAGGCAAAGTTGAATATTGGGCTTAAGGTACTCTAAAATCATCCAAAAAGTAAAGTTGTATGGCCCTTTGAAAGTATTGATGAAACTTATTCACACGAAGAATTGAGATGAGATTTGATTAAAATTTACAAGTGAACAAAGAAAATTATTGCGATAAGTTCATATATAAATAAAAAATCACACATCACTAAAAAAATGAGTGAAATATCTTTTATATATATATAATAAAGAATCTAAAATTTTAATAGTTTAAGTTTTTAAACTTAAATAATATCTAATATATATGTGTAAATTTTTTATATACTCTTATGAATTCCAAAGGTGATGGCTTTACCGTTGTGCCTATTGATAGGGCACAAGGAGTGTGATGTTATGAATATGAACCGTTGGGCGTGCTACAATAAGGCACAGGTACGAATTCCCTCATTGGCTGAGACCCACGAGTCTGGGGAGTTAACCTACAAAACTGCCTTTAAGGTTTGGTTTCTGATATGTGGTAACACTTCATTAAAATAAATTAACTTTTTTTTTTCTTTTTGGTACATGAGTGGAAGAACCCTTTTTTAATTGTTCATCATTTGAGAGAAATGAAGGTAAAAAGACCTGGAACATTACAAAAATGTTGTGTTTGGGTTTTGGAACTAAAATCTCTAGGTGAGAAGAGAAATAATACAACTAATTGGGTCAAAATGTTTGATGTGGGTTTGGAACTGATAAATGAGCTCCAAAGGTAGAATACTCCAAGGCCCGTATGTTGCCTTCATCTGTCCAAATTCCACAAGGTAATTCATTCATTTGATTAAGAGAAATCAACAACGGATGAAATTAATCAACAGTTTAGCATTCATAATTAAACAGCTTACATTGACCTGTTGTTTCCTTCATATCTTTTGAAGATTAGAATGAGCAATATGGTTCAGGCACTAGTTGCCTGAAAAGACCATAAGTAAATTACATAAAAAGTTGTTAAAAAGAAATATTAAAGACAGTAATGAGCTTCTTTGAGTTTCCACAACTAAAGATATCAACCATGGAAAACCTCCTTCCTCCTTTCTGACTGTACCAATCTGTGCCTCTTTTCTTATACTCATATTTTGTATGTTTTTGATATCATCAACATTAAAAACACTAGCATTCATGCGGATCCAAATATTACAATTAACCAAGCTGAGTTATGATGCCTGTCATTCTAGTGTTCACTTCTTCCATCGTCATCCCAATCTCCATTTGACTGTTCATGATGTTGTGAGGGCTTTCTAGGAATTCTCCAACGCCGGATCTCATTTCCTGATTGTTCTTCAGCATCAGGCAAATTCCTATATTCTCCTTTTCTCACCTGACAATAAGTACAAAACTTCTATTAGATATAATAGCAGATATTCAAACATGACAAAAATTTCTCAAGGGTTTGAAGACCGATACCTCAGGTTCTTTATGCCCTTTGAAAAGTTTATCTTCCTCTCTACTCCTTGATGAAAGATGCTTAGCAGCCTCGCTAAATATTTGAAATCCTTGAAGATCACCATTTTTTATACTTGCTTCCAGCTGCAATGGCAAGCAATGGAAAGTCACAATGCTATACATTTGTGCAAAAATTCTAGTATATATTCACAAGCCACATCTTAAGCCACAACTCAGAACCAATCAACCATAAACTAAAATAACAATGATGTTCAGAGGGTCCATATTACCTAAAGGGAGAATAAACATTGATAAATAAAGCACCATCATCAGAGAAGATTTTAATGCAGAAGCATGGGATACCATGACATATTTACAACATAACTATGTAACAATCTTGATAAATTTTGTACCTGGACATGGACAATGCAAAATATTATGCTAGCAATAGGAAGCCAGCTATCTTCTGGGGAAAGAGACAAATTTGACCTGTGAAATCAGAGGAAAACTGCGTAATTAAATTCACACGCCCCGTTAAGTTACATTTTAACCAAAAGAATCTAAAGTTTATGAAAATATAAATGTGTAGTCCGTCAAATTGAGGAAAGCGCAAAAATACCTATCATTTCAATTTATGCTCTCATCGTTCCCCACAAATACAGCATTAGAAGCATAACCAGTTGAGATAGATTAATGGTGCAAAGGGAGAGATCACATTATAATCAAGAGATGGTTGTATTTACAAATATAATTAAGCCAGAACTTGACAGCGAGAAAGCAAGTACCTAAATATACACATTAGGAGGAGGAATGCACTGATTAACAAAGCAATAAAATTTACCTCATTGAAGCTTGAAAAAGGTTACAAGATATTATGAAAAGACAAAAAGAAATTGATACTTGATAGCCCTATTTGGGTTCAAATGTGTCATAGGCCCTGATTTTTAGTAATTTAGTTCCTATAGTATTATTTAAAGAAATTTAGTTCTTATAATATTACTTTTAAAAATTTTAGTCCCTATAGTATTATTTTTTAAGTAATTTAGTCCCTATGCATTATTAAGGATTAAACTGAAATCCTCTTTAAATAATATTCCTAAAAGTCAAAGAATACAGGGACCTATGACACATTTTGACCTCCTATTTGAGTTTCGAAACTTCAACAAAAATAGACAATACAAAGCTTTAAAACTTGAAACCCCATAGAAAGAGGCATAACAAATCAACCAAATACTAGCATTCTTTGTTCATTGTCCTTTGCGGAGGTAGACAAAAGACTGAGGAACATAATCACCATAAGATCCGAATTATACTTTGTCAAAAACATGATAAAACAGTCATCGTCGCCCAGATAAGTTTTAGAATACACCGGGTAAACTTGATAAAACCGTAGTGATACCTGAGGTAAGGAGCCAAGTATACAATAGAATACACGGCGTAGCGCCGCTTCCCAGTATCAAGCCAAGCAAAAACCCAACTCTATCAAATCAAGGACAACCAAAAAAAGCGAGTAACAAATTAGATATTTAACAGGAAGCCCCTATCCCCTTCCAAGAAAAGTCAGAATTTCAATGTCTAACCAGCCAATTGAAGTAAGGGATAAGGCTGATGATTCCCATAGCCGCAAACCTCGTATCCCCGCATCAATAATCGAATTACCACCATCTTCATCCTCCGTATCGGTGGCAGGAAGAAGCAGTGAACTAAGCATGCACGCGCCGATTGCGGCAGCGAGGGGCGCGTCCGGCGAAAACTCCGCCCTGCATATCCCTCCCTTAATCTTCTTCTGTAACAATCCACAATCAGCAACCAAATAAAAAAAAAAAAAAAACAACAACAAAAGAAAAGTTAAAAAAAAAAATTGTCACCTTTTTGTTGGTTTTGGTAAGGTGATAAAGGGGTGGTTTAAATTTGGATATTGAAGAGAGTGTGAGAGAAGGCTTGAAAGAAAATGGAAAAGAGGAAGAGGGTTGGGTGAGGTAGAGGCAGATCATGGTTCGGTGGTTGCTGCCGCTAACATGAGCAGTGGACCGAGGAGTACGCCCCCCACTCACTGTTTCTTGCTAGCGGGAGTTTAAAAAAAATTAAAACTCTCGAGCGTCTAACAATTTTGGGGAGGGTGACAAATGATGGGGGTTGACAACGATTAAGATTCCGGGCTGGGATGCTGCTTACTTGCTTCTGCCGAACTTGCGCTGGAACCCCTTCCCTTTGGGTTTCTTTGGTGTCTATTGCTTACGTGTAATAGTAAATTTTGACTTTATTCAAAACTAGAATTAGACAATGCTTACAATTTTTTTAAAATTATTTTTTTTCATATACGAAAGAAATAAATTTTTGTGTTAAATTTTAATAGATATGATAACATATAAAAAAAAAGTATATTGATTTTTTAATATAAATTATAACTTAATTAAATATAAATGTAATTTTTTTTAGTTAAGATATTAAATAATATTTTTATTAATATAATATATATAAATTAAATTAATAATAAAATATATTTTTTATATATTTTGAAAAGCATCGAGATAGAGCATTTCAAATCTGATTCAAATTTGATCCAAATTATTTAAAAAAATAAAACTTAACTCAATCTTTATTTAAAAAAAATCCAATGGATCGTATCGAATTGAAATCCATCAAAAATATGTTGTTTTGTTATTTTTACATTCATCAACTTCTTGTTTACAAAATTTATCAGTAAATAAACTTTTAAAGAATAAAAATTTTTTACATAAAAACCAAATAAGATGATAAGTGAATTTATTAAATTAAGATATTAAATAATATTTTTTAATAAAATATATATTTAAATAAATAATAAAATATATATTTTTTATATATATCAAGATTAAGGTGTAACATCTAAAATCTTGTTTCTAATTAGTGTTTGATTTAAAAAATTAAAAAAAAAAAACTCAACTCAAATTATCTCAAATTAAAAAAAAGTACATTAATTGGATCGAAATGGATCGAAACTCATTAAATACAAATTACTTTATCATTTTTATCTCAATTAACTTTTTTATTACAAAATTTAATTAAAAAATAAAATTAAAAAAACACAAAAAAGTAAATAAAAAAATAAAAAAAAAAACAAAACAAAACAAAAGAACGGAGGTGTCATATAAACACTCGAGATAAGACAAAGTACTTTAAATCTATCTCTCACTCAACCCCATTTAAAAAAAAAAAATCTTAATCCAATGTTGATTTTTTAAAAAATGCACCTATTTTTTTTTTTATGAAATATATTGGATCGATGTAAATCAAAATCAAGTACCAATTGTTTTATCATCCCTATCTTCATTAATTTTTTTAATTTTTTTAATAAATAAAAAATAAAAAATTTTAAAATAAAAAAATATATTTCATAAAAAATAAGATAAAAAAAAAAAAGAAAATGAAGGAAAGAGAAAAAAGAAAGAGGAAGGAAGGAAGAAAGATAGGGTGCCACCAAAACATCCTTATCTTTCATTCTCTACAAAATTAAGTATATACATTAGAATTTGACCTACCCTTTGTCGTGGGATTATTTTTATTTTTTAAAAATTATGTTTTAAATATGAGAGAAGTAAAATTTTATGTTAAGTTTTATTCAATAACAACATATAAACAAATATAAGTGTATTTCTTTAGAAATAAATAATAAAAATATTTAAAAAATGTAAGCACAAATTAAAGGTAAAATATAAGTACATCTTTTCTTTAAACATCTATTTCTTAAACCTCGACCTCAATTGAACACCTCCTGTTTCATCATCATAATTATTCTCTTGTATTGTATTTTGAGAGAAGTGCAAGAAAATGAGGGAATTTAAAAAGAGAGACGAGGAAAATAAAGTTAGAAAAAAATGAAAGTTGCATTTAGAGAAAAAATGATAATAAAAGAATGATAGAGAAAAAAGAAAAAAAAAGTAAAAAAAAAAAAAAAACATTTGGTAAGATGAAAAAATTGAAAAATGAAAGAAGAAAGTATATTGGAAATCTACCACAATCACATCATTCCATTCAAAATAAAAGAAATTAAAAAAATTTTAAAAGAAAATTTGAAAAGGAATAAAAAAAATGGACAAAATTAAAAATATATATATATATTAAAAGAAATGAAAGAAAAAGAAAAAATAAAATAAAAAACAATGAAGAATGTGTATGGGACACCTACCATCATCAAATCATTTTATGAAAATATAAAAGAGATTAAATTTAAAAAAAATTGAAAAGAAATTAAAAAAAGTTTTTTTTTTTAAAGAGTTGAGTTACAAAATTTAGAATATTAATTGAATTGATGGAGATTTATTTTTTAAATATAAATTATAATTTAATTATATATAAATATTTTTTTATTAAATTAAAATATTAAATAATATTGTTATTAGTATAATATTTATATGAATATAAATAATAAAATATATTTTTTATATATCTCAAAAAAGGTCGGAATATATCACCCCAAATATGATTTTGATTTAACATAAATTGTTCATAATAGGCAAACTTGGACCAAATTCTTATTTGAAAAAATACCGCACCAATTAAATCACGACAAATCAAAACTATTCAATATAAATTGTTTCGTCTCTATATTTATCGATTTCTTTATAAAATTTATTTAAAAAATTTAAAAAACGAAAAAAAACAAGTAAGATGACATGTAAATTTATTAAATTAAACTATTAAATAATAATTTTTTAAATAAATATATATTAATATAAACTTAAATAATATATATATATATATATATATGAGTTAAGACATAACATTTAAAACATTGCTCTTGCTTAAACTCAATTTAAAAGAAAAAAAAAAAAAAAACTCTCAATTCAGTTATCCTGAATTTAAAAAATTACATCAATTGAATTAATATGAATCAAAACTTATAAATGGATTATTTTATAATCTCTATCATAATTGATTTGTTTATTATAAAATTTATCTAATAAAAAATAAAAGAAAATAATGAATAAAAAAATCCAAAATATCAAAAGCTTTAAAAAATAAAATGAAAAATAAAACAAAAGGGGACAGGTGCCAAATAAAATGCTTTAAATCCATCTACTACACGAAGCAATTTTCAAAAAAGATTTTTTTTTGACCCAATCTCAAGGTTTTTTTAAAGCAACACCAATTATGAAACACTAGGAATCAAAATTAATTAAATACAAATTGTTTTATCATTCATATATCAATTAATTTTTTAACAAAATTTAATAAATAATAGTTTTAAAACAAATTTAAAAAATAAAAAGTAAAAAAAAGAGAGAAATAAATTTAATAAATAATAAAGCAAAAAAAAAAAAGGAACCCATTTTTGAAGGAAGAGGATGCTACGTGAACAGCCCGTCCTTACTCTAAAATATACAAAATTAATATATTAAATGTAAAACAAATAAAATTAATATAGAAAACATAGAAATTATCCCATTTTTTAAAATTTTTAAAAAATTTTATAAAGAAATTGTTTAAAGAAAAAAGAGAGAGAAAAGAAAAAGACATTAGCATCCATGAGTCTAACAATGTCTAAATAATAACTATACTGATTGTTCTACCCAACAGCATTCAGGTCCTATAAGAACCTCCAACAAATACATACATTGTTTGTTTGAATAACTTCTATGATACAAAGATTTTCTGGACAGAAGCCAAGACTCATAAATCTAACCTTCTACTTGACTACTTTCCATGATAAAAATAACCCGGCACGGCTCTGGAACCTCAATTTTCTTTACATGAAACATAGAAGTAAAAACATCCTTGTGTACCCATAATATTTGCTTATTCATCGTTGAAGTGGCTGATATCTGCAAATCACACGTACTATTATATGCAACTAAGAATGCTGCCTTCTACTGTTCTAACGTTGTCGATGACCATGTATGGTAGGCATTAGCCATAGAAAGGTGGAACACTATTCATCTGCCTGATTTTGTATCTTTTGCCCGATTATGCATGGGGAGTTGACTTTACAGTAGTTGAGTTTACAGCTCTCATGGAACCCCTTCTCTTCTAATCCCATTCTCTTCCGCACCAGACATGAATCTTAGTTGTTGTTGTAACTGCATAATGATAATTAAATCATCAGAGCCAACGGAGGATAACTTTTTCCTCTCCAAATGATGGGGTTCTTTTCTTTTTTCCTTTTTATTTCATGAGTAATGCGGTTCTTTTTATATTAGTAAGGAAGGTTTTGTGATAGAAAGAATGAATCAAGCATCATGCGTGGCCTTGGGGGGATGTTTAAACCTAGGTCAAGAACCAACATCAGATTTTAATTGAAAGCATCTTATTATACCAAGCACAAAATAAAGTGGAGGCTGCAAATTTAATTATGTAAACCTCTGTAGGAAACTCACTTGATCATGTTTCAACTTTTCAGCAGTCAATTCATCGGTCAAATTTATCATTCTGCAAAAAAGGTGTTCAAGGGAGAGAATATCAGAAGAAACTTCCATATATAGGTGGGAAAGAAGGGTACAACTACTTGGTATAGATTCACGACAACCAACCTAGATTGTAGTTCTGAGATCTTGCCAACCAGTAAACGCTCCCTCTCAGAAGCTGCTGTTTCAACCTATTGAAGAAGAAGATTAGATAAGGGAAGAAAGAATAACCCTGTAGAAATTAGTGATCATAAAACATAGCTAAAGGTTCTTACGTTTCCATTGCTCTCAGGACAAGGAGAGAGAGGTGGCAACTTTCCATTTTGTGTGACTGGAACAACAAAAAATGAAATGGATTTTTATACTGATAAGCAGTGTATTTCCTAATTTAATCATGTAAGTGTGATTTAAAGCCCAATCTTTCACTGACCATCTACAACCTCAGCTGACTGCAAGCTATTCAACAAATTCACTATAAGTTCCTAGCATTCCAAAAAAATTTCCAGTGAGAACATCATTACTTTTGAGGCAAACAAGCATTCTATCAGCAAAATGAAACACTTACTGTCCCAACCCTAAGGGTGTACTTGGTAGAATGGAAAAGTGAAAAGATGAATGAGGGTCGAAAAGTGGAAAGAAAATAAATTTTGAGTGCTTGGTAGGAAAGAAAAATGAGAGGAAAGAAAATAGAGATAACCATTTTCCATATTCACAAATACAATTCATTCCAAATTCAAAAGGAAATGGGAGAGAAAATGGGAGACGTGTGAGTATATGTTACATATTTACAAGATTGTCCATCATATTTAGATTTTTCTTTTTATCTCAATTTACAAAAGGTTATTATTTATAAAAAAACAAAAGGTTATAATGGTAAAACAATACAATTTTCATTTTCTTTCTTTTCATTTTTTGACTCTACCAAACAATGAATTGAAAAAAATTACATTTTCTTTCAATTTTTTTATCTTTCCAACCAAGCACACCAATGGAAAGAAAACATATGTTTTCCATCTTTCCACTTTTCTTCTCTTCCAATAATATTCCATCTTTCCATTTTTCTATTCATCCTACCAAGCAAATCCTAAGTCTTTACCTGTTGAAGTGAGGTTTGCTGGAACAGATTCTGAAGGTGAGTAACAAGTATTGATGTGGGTGCACCACCATTAGGCAAATCCTTAGGGGAATGATTGGTAGGCTGAAAAACAGGGGGAAAAGATCAAATTATAAGCAACAAAACTTGTTCCACTATCAGATAGATGGAGCCACATATAAGATGAGATGAATTGATACTTGATTGTGTGAAGAAGTGTGGTTATGAAGTTATTAAACATGGATATTATTACTCTTCTTTAATTCCTGTAAAATAACATGTGTTATCGTTTTTGCTATGATACATCTCATTATAATATAAACAATCGTAGAAAACAAAATCAGTTGAGTGAGGCAAGTCTTTTGTGTGCCTTTCAAAAAGCATGCACTCAATAAAGGTGCCTCCCCTGCAAGGCAGTGAGGCACTTTCTCTGATTTGTGCCTCACCTTAATACCATGGCACACACCTTAACACCAGTTCCTCCATTTATAACAGATCATTAAGCTTCTATATGCAAGATATTGCAATAAAATGAAACAGTACATAAATTCACAATCAACCACAATGAGGAGAAAATGTAGTGAACGAACCACTTGTTTGGATTCAAATATCCAATCACCTACGCTAGCAGATTTTCTGAGAGGCGAAGTCTGAAACTCAAGAAGAAACAAAGCAACTGATAAGAAGTGGACAATTACTATTGTTAAAAGACGGATATTTAAGCAAAGACCAATAACCCACCTGTGAAGATCGGCGTGAAACTGAACTTAAAGGAATATCCTAAAGAACATTATTTGGTTAGTGAGGTTGCAAAGGAGAACAAATATAGCATTAAAATTGAGCCTTACCTTTACAAGATCTAAATTTTCTGATGTTACTGAAAATCGACCTTTTATTTGCACCAGATTAGCCTTCGACTTGTCATCCAGAGAATCCCTAAATCCTGTTGAAGCAGAAAAAGAATGCTACAATATATTTATTAAAATCCTACCAGCCACAGTAGTAGCACTGGCGGTGACGCTGGTGACAAAAAAAAAAAACAACAATGATTCTAAATGCCATAAGTTTGTTACCTCCTGATGATTTAATTGGAGCTGATAAACTGTTTGCAGATGCTCGATTAGGAAGCTTCAGTGGACCACTAAAGCTTGGTGCTTTACGAACTTGGCAAACTTTCTCATTTGCTAGTAAAATTTCATTCTCAAACCTAATCATTAGCAAGCCATTAACTCAACGTCTACAATTTTCTATTCCATTTCTGATGATTCATAAATTATTTTCTTAAATTAAAATAGATAAAGAGATTAATCACACAGCACATGTAAACACGAGCTGTAAATCATTTTCTTACTCATCCTTCAATTTCCCAACTATAACAAGCGCAAAGCAACAACACAAGAAACAATATAAATAAGTAACCAATCAGTCATAATCAAACATCTGTTGAATCACTCAAAGAACATTGAATCAAGACTTGTGAGATTGTCACTTCCGTTTTATTGATGAGGGAGAGAGAGCTAAAATAGCCCAAAAAAGCAATATAATTTTATGACCTCAAATGGCTTTTCGCTACCCCAACAACTAAACCATTTTATATTAAAATAAATTCAACAGCACATCCAAAACACATGAGAATAAATTAACTGGTGATTACAATTGATCTATTCTCACAACCACAGGAAGCAAGACCTACTTTATTTTTGGTAATTCAAGTGATAACCATGGTCTATGGCCATCATATAGCAGATTGAGTCCTTCTCCTTGTTATATAGGCTCCGTTATACTACAATTAGAACCAAATGTGCTACATAATCATGCATAAGCATCATCAGGTAACAACTAATTGGAGAAAAGAAAAAGGTTGGCATCACTTTGAAAACCCATAAAAAGAAGACAAATTAAATGGCCAAGCAAACCTAACTATGAACTATGACCAACCTTTCTGAGTTTCGAACCCGTTCCGAAGATGAATGATTAAGAACAGCACCAGGTGCAAGTGGCCCACTTTGGGTTTGCCTAGGTTTCACAGTTTTAGCCCTGGTCAAGACAGAATCCTTTTCTGAAGTCGATGCCAAAACATCAATGCTTGATCCATTTTTCCTCAAACCCTTCTCCTGAAAGTCAGCTTCAACTATATCACATTCCTGATTCTTTCCCTTTCCATTCAAGAAATCAGACTGTAGTAAGTCAACACTCCTTGGTCCTCCACATTCAACCGGAGATACTTCCCTATTTAAATTCAACTTTCCCAAACTAGATTTGCAGTAAGCTGCAGCCTGTCAGCCAACACCAAGAACAAATTAACATAGTTTGCCACAAAGGAAAAATCAGAAAGAAATACAATTTCAAGTTTTATAAGTAAAAAACTAGTATTTTAACCATGTCCAGATACATATCACAAAGAGCTGAGGGAAAAAATATATAACTTCTGACCTTATGACCAAGGCTTGATTTCATGCTTTCATCATCGTCTTTGCACTCATAAGTATCATCATCATCACGCACCTTAGCATGTTAAAGTGAAAAAATTAGCATAAACTGAGAAATTGATATAACCAACAAATGAATTACATCTCATAATATATTTCTACATTAAAATCTTTATTGTTAAAGGTTAAAACTAAAAATGTGGCCTACCAGAGATGCTTGCGCTTTCAAATCCTCAACATCAAAATTCCAGGCACTAACTCCTCTTTGGTACTCACTCTGACAAGCACAAGAAAAGATAACACCCCCAGCAGCGGGAAAACACAAATGTCCCCAAGTGGACAACCCAACAGTTAAAGATTTCACAGATATGTTATTTGAAGAAAAGGCAAATCTGATTTAAGATAAAAATGACTTCTGATTGATGATTCCTAACCTGTGATATAGCTTCTTGTTCTGCTGAAGGCATTTTCTTTAGAGCTAGTTGTTCAGCATCTTTAAGCTGTAAAGTTTTGGACAAAAAAACACATTAGACAAATACTATGGACAAATGAAGCAAAACACCTGCATTGTGGCACTGTGATCACTAACCTGAATTTCTTTCACACGATTCCAAAGTGGTGGCAGATTAGCAAATAATTTCTTCACAGAAAGCTCCGGAGGCTTTGCATGCTTGAAAAAGGAGTGCTTTAATAACTTCTCTGCAGTTGGCCTCTTCGTTTGATCTTTCACCAGGCACATTGCAACCATTTCTTTAAAAGACTGATCACAACTGGAAGTCCTTTAATTAGATATTTGCTATGACAAGTAAACAATTGCAAAAAATGCACTGATTGACATTTTATGTACATAAAGACAAATAATATGTTGGTCATTTTGATGATGTAGCCAGAATGAATAGCAGTACCTTAGAGAACTTCTTATCACGGTCATAATCAAGTCCTGGAGGAGCATTTTGTATGGTCATTAGGAGAACCTGTTATTGTTAAAAGAAAAGTTGTGAAACATAAATAAGTGCTTATTAAAAATTCATGTTATGGAACCCTCGTACTGTGGCATTTATATAAATTCTTGTTATATTTTCAATAGGATTTGATACCTTCATTGGTGGATATTTTGAAAACGGTGCATGACCATGAGCCAACTCCAATGCTGTTATACCAAATGACCATATATCAGCCCTGTGCAAAAATGCAATCAATTAATGAAATTACAAAATTAATGTGGAAGACAAAATGTACCATTTCTTTGAATGTACCAAGAGATACATAAACTGTGTATGCACCCAAGCCAAACTCAACGCAATCCAAGCATAATAGCCATTAGGGTAAAATAGCAAAAAACCCCTGAACTTTACCATTTTCCTTAGATAAGCCCTTATACTTTTATTACATCCAAATAAGCCCCTGAACTTTAATTTGCACCCAAATAAGTCCTTAAACTTTAACTTGTATCCAAATAAACCCTTAACCTTTAATTTGTACTTAAATAAGTCCTTAATGCAAATCCGTCTTTTGTTTGAAATAAAGTCTTATTTGGATACAACTCAAAGAATAAGGACTTATTTGGTACATTAAAAGTATAGGGGCTTATTTAAGAAAAGTGAAAAGTTCAGGGGCTTTTTTAGTATTTTAACCTAGCCATTAATTATATAAACTATAACCAGACTCCCATAGTCCCATAGAATGATTTGAATATTCAGAATATACATTGCACTGTACATGCAAAAGTGCAACTTAGAGGAGTGTAGATACTTTAACAGAAAGGCGTGATGTGTGGATAAAGTGAAATTTTGGGTTTCAGAACAAATATACTGCTCAGACCAAAATCATTAGACTTGTAGGTTCAAACCCATGACTAGCCATTGCTACCCAAAAGCAGAAAATACTTGCGTACACTAAGATGTCATGCCTACTGAACTTTGTATGGTGGCAATGTGTATTTAAAATTTTAAAATCTTAAACACAGATTGAAAACTCACTTGGAGTTATATCCACTTCCAGGTTGCAAAACCTCTGGTGCCATCCTGCAAAGAAAATAAGTTGGACTCTCAAATCATGAAAATTCAAAAATAAATAAATAAATTCTATCAATGGCATCAGAGTGGGAAGGAGCTGAAGCGAAAGATAATCGTTTGACAGATTTGACAAAGATAGCTCACCAGCAAGGAGTCCCAACAAAGGTATTTCTAGAACGTTGTCTATCTCCTGCATCAAACATGCAAGCTGAAACACCAAAGTCAGCAAGCTTTACCGTGCCTTTGTTATCAACCAGTATGTTTCCAGCCTGTATTGTCAATTAAAAAAAACCTCAAATCAAAGGAATGATAAATTGATTTGGATAAAATAATGTCAACTTCAATGGTGCACAGACCTTAACATCCCGATGAATATGTCCTTGTCGATGAAGATAATCCAAAGCCTTAAGAGTTTCTTTCAGAATAGAACCAATAGCAGGCTCTTCAAAACCATCAGAATAAGCTACCTTCATAAGGTGCAAACAGGAACCCTCTGACATGAAAGGCATGACCACCCAAAGGTTACGGTCAACTACAAATGAACAATATGCCCGAATAACATTGGGGTGATCAATCAAACTCATTGTTTGAGCTTCCCGACGTATATCATCCTGTAAAAGAGCATTAGCCATCAAGAAAGCCACCCAAGAGTCGAGAAAGCACAAAAAGAGGAGGTATCCACTAAGATGAAGAGTAGAAAAAATAGACCTAAACTATACCACTCATGATACTACCAGTTATAAAACCTGTAAACAACCTCTCTTATAAAAGATTCCAATAGCCAAAAGAAATCGTGGTATGCGCATAATGAGTGATTCCATTACTATCAAACATATAACTTGTTCAGTAGAAGGATCTATATGTAATGAAACAACCAAGAATATCAGAAGTTTAGTACACATGAACTGGAACTAAGGCCTTGTTGGGATTGAGAGGAAGCTAGGGAAAGGAAAAGGAAGGAATGGAGAGTAGTACTATGTCCATTGTTTAGAAAAACATTGAACAGGACAGGATTTTAATCCCACCACTAGCAAGTAAAAACCTTTAAACTCTCTTACCATTCTAGGAATAGAATCCCCCTAATCTCTCATTCCTTTCTCATGTTGAGTAGCAAAAATTCTATGAGAACAAAATCATCTCCTTGGCATATTAAGTGGACAATAATTTAAATTTTCTATGCACATACTCCTAACAGAAAATTTTTCAAGAAAAAAAAAAGACAAAAAAAATCCATGGATCCAATGGTAGCATCATTACAAAGTATTCCTCGATGGCAGATATCCAGCTTTAAGTAAGCATGGAACGTTGATAGACTATCTTATGTACGCATAGTAGCAACAGCAATTCAGCACTAAAATGCCTCAGCTAAATCAATGGTATGGATGCTAAAAAAAAAAAGGAAAAAAGAAAATTCCTATATATAATAGCATAGTTCAAATAACACTATTAAATAGGCTTTTTCTTGCTTCCCCATATAAACAATTAAAGATAGAAGTTAAAAAGAACAACTTTCAACTTTAAACAAATTCAAAAGGAACAAGTACCAAGCACTATCTGGAACTATAGAAACAAACACATACCCACAAGAAATACAGTCATCTTTCAAGACCTAACAAGCTCCGAATTCAAAGAAACGAATTTCAAATTTCAATAATAAAAAGTAAGAATCTCAGAATTCCATTCAACTCCACGAGAAACGATCAGTGAAACCCACAATCAAATCAATTTTAATCAAACGAGATCTCTAATCAAAACTAACTAAAATCAAATCAAGTTACAATCATTTATTTGACTAAAAACAGTAAAAGTAGAAAAAGAAAATCAAAAACCAAAAATCAAATAAAGAGGAAAAACAACGAACCAGGTTACTATTGCAGCGATCCAGATCCAAACACTTCACAGCTACGACGTCGTTCAAAGGAAGATAGATCGCTCTATAAACAGTAGCACTGGCACCATAACCAACCTCTTCTAAAAGTTTATAATCACTAGGATTAGCCGAATAACTCCGACTCCCTCCCATTCTCCGGCTGCCCTAAAGCCTTAAACCGCCCTTGGAAAACTAAACCAATAACCGTCGAGAAATTGTCGCTCAAAGCCGCCGGCAGAGTAATTAAAGTAAAAGAGCCGTGTGGAAATTAAAAAGCAGCTTTTTCTTTTTGTTTGGTGAAGTGTTTATTTGATCTGTTGACCGGCATGAATATCGATATAGCGAGAGGACGGGGTTTGACTTTGAGAGAAAGAGGGAGAACCGAGGTGGTTGCTGACGTTTCTGTTTGCGCTAGATCATTGATATTTTGACGCGTGGATTCGATGCTTTCATGAATTGTTTTGATCACTTTATTTTCCTATCCTTTTTAGATTATGATATATTGTTGGGTTTTTCTTAATTTAATTTAAGTTGGCTAATTTTCGGTGGGTTGGAACTCTTGGGTTTGCTGATTTTTTTCTTCAAAATTTTCGGAAATCATCAAATCGACCATATTAATTTTTCCTACTAAAATTTTCCAAAGTATAAGAAGTCTAATAATAAAATTTTTTAAAGAGCATTTTCAGATAAAAAAATATATATTAAAGACAAATAGCTTCAAAATTAAGCTAATTTTAAGAGTGAGTATAAATTGATTTCAATTGATTTCATTTATAAATTGCATTTGATTAAATCGATTTAATTAATTTAATTTTAATAATTATTAATTAAATAAATAAATTTAGTTGAGTCAATTTTTTTATTTGAATAAATTTCATAAAAGGTCACTTAATTATATCATAAATCTCAATTAGATCATTAAATTTTAATTTATCTCAATAATATCACTCATATTTGTTAGATGTATCAAGCCGGATATCTGAGATTTCATCTAAAAAGTATCGAAATGATTGCCACATAACCAGCCATGTAATCCACCACGTAAGATTTTTCAAATAACGTGCCACGTCAGTTTTTTTTACCCAAATCTTAAAATTTTCTTTTCTTTTTCTCTCTCAAGTTGTTGATGCTTCCTTTCTCTTCACTCCCCTTCAAGTCTTCAACCGTCATTGGGTCGTGGTGATATTTTTGTGCTTCAAAATGAAGCTGAAGAAAAAGAAACGAATGGTGGGTTTTGGATGGATCAGGGGATCCAGAACTTGAATCTCATGGAGTTCGTGGAATATGCTATGACTATGGCGCTGAAGGACCTGAGAAAAAATGCAGTGGTTAGATTGGGGAAGTTGAGCATCCAAAATTCTACCTGTTTATGGCCATGGGCATCCAAAACGTAAGTATAAATTCACAAGCATTTTTGTTGTTTCCATTTTTCTTTTTTATTAATTTCATTTTTATGTTAAATTTTGGTTTTTGAGAATCTGAAGTTGAAAATTTGAAATGGGTTATGTTTGGTTGTCGACAAAATGGCGGAAAATTTAATAAAAATTGGAAGTTATAAACTTGAAAATTTGAATCCATTTAACCCTATCTTGGTTAAGTTAACTTTTACCTAAATGAAAATTTTGTTTAATTTGGCTTTGGACCCTGAAGCTGAATTATAGTTAGTTTGGTTCTAATTGGTTGCTGAGAAAATGGAGGAAAAAGGAGTAAATTATGTAGCAGGAAACTTGATTTAATCAACTTGGGCCATGATAAATCCTGAAAGTTAGTAGCTTTATTAACAAGTTATGCTTATCTAGGTAGCAGTGCGTTCTGGTTCATTGGGTCTTGGATGATTCCTTTTGCTACTCACATGGCAAGGTTCAGCAAGGAATCTCTTACTTTCAGAGGACAAGCTTTGTTTGGCTTTGTAACTGATGTAACTGAAGGACTTGTTGGGATTGCAATACTCCACCGCTGTCTGTCTCAGTTTCATCCTCTTCTATCAGATTGGTTTAAATTAGCTTAAGAGGAAAGTGGCTTTTTAATGTTGTTCTAGGATGCCTCATGTTTCCTGTTGTCAACCGATTATCACAGTTCAACCTCAACTTGTTGCCCCTTATGCCTTCTACACTTGTAACCCTTGCAGAGCACGCAGTACATCAATGCTTTACGACTCTTATAGTAGTGCATATGGGAGTGGTTTGATGACAAAAACAAACATGTTAGCTTTTGCAGCATCCTTAGTCTCCCGATATTGATCCATCTCTTATGTACATGATCGTCGAGTACCGTATAAAAATCAAATGGTGCAGCTGATATTTTCACGCCTTTGTCTTATTCTTTCATCGAAGACCCTTGTTTCTAACTAACTGCAAATAAATACATGAGATCAATCCAACAATTTTGGTTTCAGAGCTCAAATTTTTAAGTTTTGAAAATTAGGCTGTGTTCTTCGTTGAGGGACCTGACCAATGATGCAGAGCTTAAATCTTTATCTTGTCATATATAGAATGCTTACCTTTGCAAGTCTTCTGTTTTGAAGAGATGAAACAAAGTACTTTGAAAATCTAAGGCTCAAATTTGCAGAACACATCTAATGATATTTTTCAATTAAAACATTATCATCAATCCAAAAATTTAAGCACATGTAGACTATATATTGACATCCGCAACTCATTTATGCAAATAATTTTTTTGGTACACAAAACAAACCCTCCATTACAAAAAAAAAAAAAAATGTTATCTTAACATTCCCACTATCATCAAACTTCAATTCAAAATGGAGTATTTTTAACCATAAATGCAAGAGAATAATTTATCCTAAAAAAATGTAAAAGCTTATGTTCAAGCATGCTCTCTCCCCCTTGAGGTTGAGGTAGATCCTCTACTATTTTGAGATGCTCGAGTCATGAATCTAGATGTTATCACTAGAGCTTCTAATAGGTAAGAAAGATGCAATTTGTGTTTGGCTTGTACCCTGAGTATTATTACATTTAATATGGCATGTTCATTTCATCATATACTACAAGGTCAATAAAATAAAATACCAAGTGGGCACTTACATCCGGCTACTCCATTGCACGTGAATAGAGGTTGGGGATATTGGGTTGGCAGTAACTATAGGCTGTTATTGCTAAGAAGATGACGGACAGCTTGATTTGGTGAATTCTCCTCTCTGGAAGTACACAATAATGAAATAAATGAGATATATAATACAAGTCAAATACATGCAATGAATATAAAATAAAGTAAAATGTAAGGAATATAACACACTGGTAATTTTTTCCTTATATTTTCAGAGGTGGTGTTGGCTTGATGAAACCTCTTGTTATGGCCTTTTTGTCCACATTTGCTGCATGTCATTTTCACTCCATCTTTGGTTATTTTCTGAGACTGTCCAGAGAAATTTTCTTTCTCTTCAAGTTCTTTTCTCCTCCTTTTTTTTTTCCTTCCTTTATTTTATTCAGGTAATGGTGGTGGGATGACAGGACCTCTTCCACTTTTAGGCCACAATTGTTTTTCATTAATTTGATGAATAGTATAACCATAAGTCTACGTATTCTCATAACGTCTAGATTTGAAGATCTATCGTTAGACATTGACTTTAGGGAGTCGCCACCAATCTTTTTTATCTAGGTGCGATTGACCACCTAAAGAATCTGTCTTTTTAGAGAACGCCTAAGTTTAAGGACCCCTAAAAGAATAGGTTCATATCTACTAATCAAAACAAGGTTCGAGAGTTCGATTACGTGTGAGGAAGGTTATAGCACCCTCACAACGCCCATTAAAAGATGGTACCAGCTTAAATTTGTGTTATCCAAAAGCCTTAAAATTTTACCAAGTAATTAATTATTAGAAAATTTTTTCAATTGACTCTAATACTTTTAGCAAAAAATTGAGAAAATTCTCTCACCTCAAGAGTATGCAAGAAAAATTACTGTTTCACTTGCAGAGGCTCCGTCGTCGGATTAGTTAAAGAAAAATCAAAATCAAAATCAAAATAGAAAGGAAGGAAAGAATGATTGTTCTTGTGTAGGAAAAATTGATACTTTCAACTTTTTTTCAAAAATACTTTTTTGAAAATTTATTTTTAAGAAAAATTGATACTTCCAACTTTTCCTCAAAAATATTTTTTTTTGAAACTTTGATTTTCAAGGAAAATTGATACTTTCAACTTTTCCTCAAAAATCTTTTTTTTGAAAATTTATTTTTAAGGAAAATTGATACTTTCAACTTTTTTCCAAAAATATTTTTTGAAAATTTATTTCTAAGGAAAATTGATACTTTCAACTTTTCCTCAAAAATCCTTTTTTGAAAATTTATTTTTAAGGAAAATTGATACTTTCAACTTTTCCCTAAAAATATTTTTTGAAAATTTTGATTTTCAAGGAAAATTGATACTTTCAACTTTTTCCCAAAAATATTTTTTGAAAATTTATTTTTAAGAAAAATTGATACTTTCAACTTTTTCCCAAAAATATTTTTTGATTTTTATTTAAAGAAAATAGAACAAAATAAAAGTGAAAATAAATAAAGATAAAAAAAATAAAGAAAAGTAAAACAAAAATAAAAATAAGATAAAGATAAAAAATATTAAATAAATAAATAAAACAAATAAAAAAAATTCCAAAAAAAAAAAACGCTATCGGCTCGGCTCGACTCAAGAAAGAGAAACGGCTCTGGGGCAGCTTGGGAAGCTCGGCTCGGCTTGGCTTGGAGGGGGGCACGCGCGAGTCAGGAAGCGGGTCGACGCACGTGTCGGGTCGGGTCTCGACAAAACGCGCGGATCCTCTGGGTCACTTAAGGCCAAAACGACATCGTTTTGGAAGGGTATATAAGGTCCTTCCCTCTGTTTTTCGACAGAAAGCTCCTCCCCTCTCTCTCTCTTCTTCCCTTTTTCTCTCCTTTCTCTCTAAAGGCTGAAGAACTCCGGTTGAATTTCGTCGGATTCTGGAAAATATCATCGAAATCTAGAAAATTTCACCGGAAGTTCGTCGGAAGTTAGCCGGAAGGTTGTCGGTTTCTGAAATTCTTCACCGAAAACTTCAAATTTGGCCGAAATCTTTGCCGAAAAATTCAAACTTCATCGAAAAATTCAACCGAAATCTGAAATTTTCCAGAAATTCCCAGAAAAAAATCGCCAAAAAATCTTCAAAAAATTTTGCTAACTCCCAGAACACTCCTAAACCTTTTCTTAGCTTTCTATACGCCTCATTTTCTCTCAAATCAGTAGCTTTGCTCACTGTTTTTTTCTGTCTGTTGCATATGTTCTAGGAGGTCCCTTTTATAAGGATTGATCAATTCCTTCTTGAACGGGGATTCAATATTTGAATCCAATCTGGACTCTTCTGATTGAATTCTCATTCACAATGGGATTCTTCAACTTTCAATCACAGCCATAAAAAAAAAAAAATAATAATAATAATATAATAATAATTAGATAAACAAAAATCATATAAACGGAACAAGAAAAGAAAAAAAAATTATTAACAGATAATCAGAAATACAATAAGATAAATCCAAAAAAATATTACAAGAAAAAAAGAATAATAAATGAATTATACATATAACAAAAATGATTGAAAGATGGATTATTCCATTAAGTTATAAAAAAATCAAATAAATATTCGATAACACACACCTTCAAGTAATTCTTTATTGAGTAACATTCATCCCCACACGACTCTGGCTCCAATTTCTCATGATAGATGCAACCAACAACATGTGGACATGGGAACCCTGTTAGTTGCCATTTTCTAAAAGAGCATTCGTGGGCTTCCAAGTCAACCACAAATTGTGTATTTGGAGGGTCCACTCCACCTCATCCATTAGAAATGAAGGAATTGAGCAAAGCACTTGAAAGCTTTTAGCACCAGACCATCTAGGAATACAGTAGAATGATTGTTCTTTGGCCATATTTAACTTCTTTTGGATCTTAGGACATATTAGGCTAGTGTATTTTTTCATGGCCTCTTTTTTGCACCCCTAGCCTTTTCCTTAACTTGCACCTAATCATCTCCATCATCGTGAGTATTGGTTTATCCCTAGCATCTAGTATGCATTTATTGAAACACTCACATATATTGTTAAGTAACATGTCAGATTTAACTCTAATCGAGAAGTGAGACCTAGAGCAATGGCGAAATGGTCTTTCACACAACCAATCGTGTGCATGAGATGAAAGCCTATTGATCTTTCTCATCCATCTATCAAAGTCAGCTACGAAAGTTGCCCTAGCAGCATTCCAAAACAAGTCTTTTAGGATTTTACCTTTATGCCCCCCATTATCACTAAAGATGTTGTACATGTGCTTAACACAAAATCTTTGCTCAGACCCAAGAAACATCTCTTCCAACGTTACTCTTAGTCCCTATAAGATACAATGATAAAAATATCAAAATAATAAAAATTCACATGAGAAGAGGAGTATACCTTTTGTTTATTAGACATAAATGACCAATCATAATTGTTTTCAATTCCAATATCCTTTGATAATATTTTCAAAAGCCAACCCCAACTTTCTCTATCATCTCCTTCCAACCACAGCATAAGCAATTGAAAATATGCAATCATTTGGATCAATACCAACAGCAACTAGCATCTATCCACTGTATCTCCCTTTTAACCAAAGCCCATCTACCCCTATTAAGTGCCTACAACCAGCTAAAAACCCATCTTCTGGAATAGTCTATTGTCTAAACCCAAAATGGTTCGGTTCTACTCCCTGAATTTGTCCTCAAAATCTCCTCTCAGTAATCTTGAAGGCTTGTATATTGTTCCTCATCAGAACCCTGAATCTTTTTTAGTGCGTATTGCTTAGCTCTCCATGCAGTCATCCTAGAGATATCTAACTGCAACTCGTCTTACTCTGTTTTGCAAACCACTTGCAGACCAATTTGGATCAGCCATAAAATCATTCAAATACTTCATTCCAAGAAACTTGTAATTAGCAAATCTATTCTCATGCTCTTTGTTGCATGTATGAATATCAATATAAGTTTTTATCTGGACAGTGACGGCTAACCCAAATCCTTCAAGGACAACCACTTTTGCATTTTGCTTGCACCCGATACTTGTCATTGGGATCAAATTTTATTTTACAATTATTGATAACTGAATATTGAGCACAGGCTACTTTAAACTCTTCAAATGATTTAAACAACATTCCCTTTTTAAACTTAGGATCGCTCATATCTACATAACCATTAAACTCAGGCCACTTCACCCTCTTTTGATAAACATCATCATCACTGAAACTACCACTATGCAACTCATCAGAAGACGAATACTGTGAAAATATTTCTCCTACTTCATTTTAGACA